TAAATTATCCTAATTAATAATTTCTAGTATTATAGATATGAAAGATTCCCAATATGATATTGTCTATTAAATAATTAAATCGGAATCAAAAGAAGAAATAAGCGACATAACTATTCTACTGAAAGTGAATTTTAATGCTCCAATAGAGAGACCATAATTGAAAATATAATTTTTGAATGATTCATTTCTTTCAGAATACAATTTACCTCTTTAATAGTTAACAAAAACAGTTTAATTGAATACACCTTCAGTACTAAACTAGAATTAGATAAATCTAGCCTAAAGTACTGTAGCTTATAATGAGGCAGTGATCTATTTCTTAATTGGCTTATCTGGTCTATGTCTAATGACAGGTTCTTCTGAATTATTTTGGAATCTGATGGATCAATTGTAATATTTATCATACATTAAATACGTTAATATTAGATTTCCTCCAAATCTTAATATTTATTTTGAAGTTTTTAAACTAATTAGTATTCAGCCAGCAATTTCAGCCTTGAAAATAGATAATTTGTTTAATTTTATTCAGCAAGGAGAGAATAATCAAATTCTTCGTGATGATAAATTTAAGCCTGATGATATTAACATAAGATTTCTTGATAATTTTAGTAGTTTCATATTCTGTCTTATAACTGCCTATTCAGGATACTTTTTTTTCAAAATCACATATATGTTATTGTACCAAATGTAACCGTATTTTTTATTGAAAATGAACTAAACAATTGCAAAAGGATTTTATTTAATTAGAAAAAAATTTTATAAGTCTTCAAAAGAGTTTCACTATAATGGCATCTTAAGAGTAATGATGTCTAATGCATATGATATTTCTTTTGCAATGACAATATAACTTAGTTATTTTTAGAGTAAAAAAATAAGTGAGACAATAAATTCATATCTTTCCCTTGCTATATTTGCTTCATATTTAGGAGTTTCGATTTATATTTTTAATATTATGCAAAAGTTTTCTAATAAGAATACATTAAGAGCTAAGAAATAATATGAATCTTTATTTGAAGGAATTCAAGAAGGCAAAAATGTCTGGGTTTCATAATATAATACAATTTTATTAATTAAAAAGCTTACTTTCATAAGTATAATTGTATTTATGTAAACAGATGGAAAACTTTAAACTCTGCTAATTGCAATAAATTAATCTTTATTTCTATTTTTTTGTATTGCCAATAACCCATTACAGAGTCATTATGAGTACTACAAAATTCTTATAACAGAGTCCCTTGTTATTTTCAACACAATCACGTTTATTCTTTACGATTATTCAAAGGATATTGGATTGAACTAAAATTTTAGTTTAACTTTAGGATGGGTTCACATATCCTCTTTTTCAGCTATCCTAATATTCTCATTGATAATTGATATTTTTTAACAATTACAGGTCATGGTGATCAAATTAAGGTAGTTTTGTTGTCAAAATAAGAATTAAGAAGATCTAGGATCATAAGTAAGACTATTTATTTGAATTTTTATTTTTTAATAAATCATTTTATTATTAAATCAATTTTTGTTTCAAAACTATGCATAAACATCCTTATTCACATTTATATAATTTTCTATTTATTTAAGAACAAAAATTATTCAATTTACATTTTCAGCTTAATTGTAAAAAATAATTAAAATAGAATATTAACTAGCTTTATAATATTTTAATAAGAAATTTTAATTATTTATTTCCTGAAAAATCTGTAGAAATGAAAAAATTTTAATAATAATCAATTGAAGATTAAATTACTTTATTGATTTTAGGAGATAACTAAGTAGGTAAAACAAGTCTAATTATTCGATACACTCAAGATATTTTCGATGAAGTTTATAATCACAAAAAAACACTTAATNGATGTCTAATGCATATGATATTTCTTTTGCAATGACAATATAACTTAGTTATTTTTAGAGTAAAAAAATAAGTGAGACAATAAATTCATATCTTTCCCTTGCTATATTTGCTTCATATTTAGGAGTTTCGATTTATATTTTTAATATTATGCAAAAGTTTTCTAATAAGAATACATTAAGAGCTAAGAAATAATATGAATCTTTATTTGAAGGAATTCAAGAAGGCAAAAATGTCTGGGTTTCATAATATAATACAATTTTATTAATTAAAAAGCTTACTTTCATAAGTATAATTGTATTTATGTAAACAGATGGAAAACTTTAAACTCTGCTAATTGCAATAAATTAATCTTTATTTCTATTTTTTTGTATTGCCAATAACCCATTACAGAGTCATTATGAGTACTACAAAATTCTTATAACAGAGTCCCTTGTTATTTTCAACACAATCACGTTTATTCTTTACGATTATTCAAAGGATATTGGATTGAACTAAAATTTTAGTTTAACTTTAGGATGGGTTCACATATCCTCTTTTTCAGCTATCCTAATATTCTCATTGATAATTGATATTTTTTAACAATTACAGGTCATGGTGATCAAATTAAGGTAGTTTTGTTGTCAAAATAAGAATTAAGAAGATCTAGGATCATAAGTAAGACTATTTATTTGAATTTTTATTTTTTAATAAATCATTTTATTATTAAATCAATTTTTGTTTCAAAACTATGCATAAACATCCTTATTCACATTTATATAATTTTCTATTTATTTAAGAACAAAAATTATTCAATTTACATTTTCAGCTTAATTGTAAAAAATAATTAAAATAGAATATTAACTAGCTTTATAATATTTTAATAAGAAATTTTAATTATTTATTTCCTGAAAAATCTGTAGAAATGAAAAAATTTTAATAATAATCAATTGAAGATTAAATTACTTTATTGATTTTAGGAGATAACTAAGTAGGTAAAACAAGTCTAATTATTCGATACACTCAAGATATTTTCGATGAAGTTTATAATCACAAAAAAACACTTAATTGCAATAGTTTATTAAAAAATGATGTATCAAAGAGCATATTTATTGAAAATTAATGTGTTCATTTATAAATTGTATTTATCTTTAATTAATTTAAGCATGATATATCAGGTCCAGAGAAATATATTTTTATCGATAGAGTTTATAGGTATTTATAATTGATAAGGTTAGAAAAGCATAAGGTATATTTATAATTTATGATGTAACAAATAGATATTCGTTTAATAGTATTTAATAATGGATAAGTTAAATTGATAAGTAAAACTATTAAAATATTTATAGTATTGCTAATGAAGGTGTTATAAGAATTCTTATAGGAAATAAATGTGATTAAAAAGATAATCGAGCTGTAACATTTGAGGAAGGCAATTTGTTAGGTATATAGTAATCTAATCAAATTAGCTTAATAATACGGTATACCATTTTTTGAAACATCTGTCAAATTATCAATTAATATAGAAAACTCCCTTATATTTTTAATAAAGTTGATTATGTAAAAACAAGAATAATAATAATAATAATAATAATAATAATAATAATAATAATAATAATAATAATAATAATAATAATAATAATAATAATAATAATAATAATAATAATAATAATAATAATAATAATTAATTATAAAGAATGAAAAGAAGAACTAAAAGTTAAAATTGAAGTAAAATAATTAAAGTAAAAATATTCAAAGTTGCATTTGAATTTTATTGATTAATTTTGAATAGATACATTAATTATTATTTTATTTATTTTTCATTATAAAAATATTCTTATTGTTTAGAAATACAACAATATTAAACAAAGTTATAAATGATAATTTATAATTAAATTATGATACTTAATAATATGAACATTAAATCAATACAAGTCGCATACTAATGGGAGATGATCACTACCTTCTTCTTGATTTACAATGGGATTTTCTATTAAATATTCAATTTTAGGCATTTATAATATTTATGAGACTTGCAATTTATTGATCCAAATGTAATCTACACATCCAACTTATGATGAAGACATTGTTGTAATTAATGGTTCATATGTAGACCATTTTGCATAGAAATCATGCAAATCTTTACTTTTAATTTTCTATAAATCTGCATAAGCACTTCTAAATTGAATTGGTGTTTCTACAATTGGATATGGATTTAATTAAGCTTAATGAAATTAAAAATTATCATCTATAATTTGGCATCTCAAAGCTTGAACATACAGATCATAATCATAATCAATGTCTTATTATTCATATTGTATATTAAATTCACCACACTTTTTCTAAACATTAATTCTGTCCTACATATAATCAGTAGGATGGTAAGAAATGGAATATTAGCCACTTATTCTTTTTGGATTTAACTTACTAAATTGTTATTGGCCTTATGAAATATAAGAATACAAAGCACTATTGGGTGTTAGATTAAAATCACCACACCAAACAATTCTTGAATTCTAATATTTTAATTGTAAAGATTAAAGTGTGATCATAATTAATTGAAGTTGACTTAGTTTTAAATCTCCTCTGTTTTTATTAAATATCAAATGAGAATTAGCAACTATGAGAGGATTTCCATCATTACAATCTTATAATACTGTTATAAGACATATATTAGGTTTATCCATTTTGGCTTTAGAGTTATAAAATAGATGTTCTTGTTTTAAGTGAAGATTATAGGACTTGATTAATTTGAATTTCTATTTTAAGAAAAAGAGAGCACATCCATCTTTTTGATTTTCTTGACTTCTTTTTAAATAAAGCTTTTCATATTTATCATGAATTAATAATTAACTTAAGTCATTTTCATCACAATCTAATTCTTAAAGACATAGAATATCAGGCTTATACTTTTTTATTTAGGAAAAGATTAATGGCCATCTGTTCTTCCATTCATATTATTATAATTGCTTTTCATTTTCTTATAACAAAGAATCAGCCAAAATATTGTAAGACATTAATCTAAAAGAGTTGTTATGTTTAGAACCTAGCCATTTTCTTATAGATGTAATTTATTATTGCATGTATTTATTAAATAAAAAAATATATGTGAGAGAAATAATATATTTAAAAATTACATAATAATAACAATATTAAATAATATATAAAAATAAGGAAATGGAAATGGACAAAGAACCATATGATTATATTTTTAAAATAATTATTATTGGAAATGGTAGTTGTGGGAAAACTAGCATATTATATCATTATTTGAATGGGAAATGTAAAGAGATGTTATGAAAGAAATTAGAACCGAAGAATGTAGCTTAGACTGTAGGTGTTGAGTTTTCATCGAAAATGATTTAAATAAAAGGGAAATCCATTAAATTGTAATTATGGGATACTGCAGGTTAAGAAAGATATCGATCTATTGCAAGAACATATTATAGAGGTGCATTAGGAGCAATTTGTGTTTTTGATGTGACAAATGCAGAATCTTTTTAGAATATGTAGTAATGGATAAAAGATGCAAGAGATTTTGCAAGACCAGATATATGTATATTAGCATGTGGGAATAAGATAGATTTGATCGTATTAAATTTATTTTAAAAAAGGAATAAAGAAGAATTACAGAAAGTTAGGTTTAAAAATTAGTAAAAGAATATTCAATAGATTCATACTTTGAAACAAGTGCAGTTACAGGGGAATAAATAGAGAATATGTTCATGACATTATCAGGAAAATTAGTTTAAAGGATAGATAATGGATTAATAGAGAAAAACGATTTAAAACCAATTCTATTGGCTACACATTCCTCGAAAGAAGAAGCAAAAGAATAAACTTGTTCTTGTTGACTTTGTGTGTACAATTATATTTGCAAATTACACATTTAATATATTAATCCATTATTAAATCTAAATATATTTTAATATTCCACCCACAATAAATTATGATGGAGTTTGATATTCTTGATTATGATTATTAGTTTGATATTTCTACATTATATTCTCTATTTTAATCAATTCTTATTTTTTTAAGGAATCTGATATCTCTAAGGATAATTGAATGAATATTCCACTCAAATATACATTTCTAATTGTTCAAAATATTTCATTTGAAAAAACTTAATCAAAACTTTATTTTTATTATTTATATCAATTCAACATTCAAATAACTAAATATTTTTTGATTTAATACATGTAAATCATAATAAAATATGTTTGTTATTAAGTAATACATATATATATTTAGTCTAAAATATAATAGTTATAATATAAAATTTATTAATAAATATAATTACAACAAAATGAATGTAGATGACATAAAAAACAAATTAAAAGAATTAAATAAGAAACAATAAGAAAGTTTAAATAAAAGAAAAAGTTTGATAAAAGAAATAAAAAGCATGCCCTTTTAGTAATTTTTATTTAATATGATAATAGAAAGAATAATCATAAAATCAAGAAATCTAAGGATGAAAATGAAAAGGTAATTTATAGAATACGAATGTTTTGAAGACTTTTGTAATCAATCTTGAGGGTGCAAAGGAGGAACGTGCTGAAAAGTAAAAGTAGCTTGATCAAAAAGTACCCATTGCCTAGAAAGAGAAGGATAGAAGAATAGTAAAATTTCTATTTGGAAACCATTTATAAAGAGCAAAATAAGATTTAGAAGGAGAAAAATAAAAAGTAATTTATAGTATCATATCTATTTAGTTGGATAAACAAATTGAAATCAATAAAAGACTTGAGGATAAAGATAGACAAGATATAATGGCTTTTAAAGAAGATTAAGATGTATATTATAATATATAGAAAATAGAAAAGAAAGGAATAATTGGTAACAGAGAGAAAACAATTAGAGAGAGAATTGGCAGCAGATGAATTTAGAAGACAAGTAAATATTATAACAATTATATATAGTAATTATTATTGGAGCTTTAATTAAAAACTATGAGAGAGTTTTTTATCACTAAGTAAATTATATATCATAAGAAATTATTAGAACAGCTCCATATATATTATGGTAACCAGTTAAGACAAATGAAGGAATGAATCCTCTTAAAGAATATAGTAATGAGAGATTCAATGTAAGAAATATATTAAATTTTTGACTAGGAAATGGAAAAAGACCTAAAAGAGAAATTATAAAGAGCATATTAATAATTTCTTGATTTTTAGACTCAGAAAATAAAAGAGCAGCCAGTTGAATAAGAGCATGAAAGTTCTCAATCTGAAAGTGAGGAATCTTAAGAGAAAATAAAGGAAGATGGGTAAGAATGATGAAAAATTATAGGTATTAAATTAGAAATAAGATTATAATTCATAAAAACTGTTCCTATTTAAGTAGAATTATAAATATATATAATAAATAATTGTTTTTGATATAAATCAGACATGTTTACTAAGTGCAGCCTTTACTGATTTTGCAATATTAGATTATTCTTTCTTTTCATCTTCATTGTCTTTTGGTTATTGTTATTATGGCTTTTAAGTGTATTTTAACAAAACATTTCCTGTTGGAGCTTATTATTAACTTAATAATGAAGAAAATATATACTTTTATTATAGTTTTTTGAATTGAACACTTGGTGAAACAAACTAGTTCATATTTGGAGAATCTAATGTTTGTTTATTAATATACCTTCACATCCAACAGTTCTACCTGTTATAACAGGAGTTCTCATAATCATTTATTAATCTTTATTTTATACTTCTTTCATTTTATTTGTTGCTTACATGACTGGAGATTTTAAGGGTGAGTTAGTTAATTGATTAATTCTAAGCATATCAAATTTGGCAGCTCTATTATAAATTATAAGATTTTACTATTCATTGATTAATTATATTCTAGCATTTAATCCAGGTTTATCATCAACTTCTCCAATATCTCCATCTTCTTCTGATGAGATGTTTTATTGAATTCCTTCGCATAATTAAATATATTCAAATTTCATAGCATCTTTAGCGGTAATTCTTTTTTTTGGATTAGGTTCTAACATTTATTTTAATAATTCTAATGCTTATGGAGGTACAACATCAAACACTGAACTTTTAAAATTAACTTTAGCCTCTTTATTTTATTGAACAATAGTGTTATAACTTCTTCCTGGAAATCCTGGTTTTCCTGTCAAAAGTATGTGGAATACCAATCCTAAAGAGTAAATATCACAAACACTATCATATGTAGTTGACATATCTGTAATATTTATCACTTCTGGTGCTACAAAACCAGGTGTTCCACATCTACAATATAAATAGACTGGCAGATTTACAAATGTTGCCAAACCAAAATCAGCTATCACTACAGAATTGATATCACTATTATAATAATGTTTAAATTTACTTTTATTCTTTGAATAATATATTCTCTAACTTCAAATCTCTATGCATTATATTTTTGGAATGCATGTGTGCCAATCCATCTAACAATCCTTTCATTATTGATTGTATTTATTTATTGTTTAATATTACTTTCTTCTTCATTAAATCATAGAGTTATCCTCCTTATAATAATTCTAAACCCATATATAATGAATTCTATGTCTCATAGACTTCATAGAGTTTCATAATATTTGGATGATCTAATTCTCTCATTATAGTAATTTCATTTATGAGTCCTTCCTAATTTTGATATGTATAATCTTACTTTCCCATTTTCTTCAGCATAAACTGCACTTTTTGAAAATGCTTTTATTGCCATTTATTAACCATCTTCAATTCTCTCTGCTAAATACACACTTGCAAAATTGCCTTTGCCAATCTTTTTGAATACTTTAAACATATGATGAAATCCCATCTGATTTATTTTTTAACCAAATAGTTTTCTAAATGTTTTCAGCGTTTCTTAATCACTAGTGAAATCCCAATGTTTCTCTGATGTTTCTATCTATAATCTTATATGTAAGATATTCCCTAAAGTTTAAACATCCTCTGGTTTAACAATGTCAGGTCTATTAGAATGAGGAGTGTTTGGAGTTGATTTTTTTGTTTAAGCATTTGACTTTAAAATAGGAGCATCTCTAAATATTTCAAATCTAGTTGAAAAATCTAAAGGCAATAATTTATGTGCAAATTTTCCATTTTCCTTTTTAATATAGTTTCAATTACTTTGAATAATAAAATATGTTTATCAGTAACTACAAGATGTCTTTAATGTTACTTTTTCCCTAATTTTGTTACTGTTGCCTCATATTTAACCTTTGTTTACACAAAATCCTTAGGAATAGCTTACCATAATGGTCCTTATTCAATTTATTGCATTTAATATTTAATTTTAGAAATTACTTAAAATATTAATAAATAATTTAATCACAATTCTTAATTCATCATCGACGATGATGTCCATGATGTCCGTGATGTCCATGATGTTTATTACCTAAACTATCTAAATGATAATTATACCAACTACAACAACATTTGTTGAATGATGATGATGATGACCTATATTTTCAATCATCCTAACAGTTTCAATAGCTGCAAATGTTCCTAAAGCAGTTCTAGCCATAGTACCTGCAAATCCAGGACCTTATTTTTAATAGTATTATTATTATTATTATGGTTATTATTGTTAATTTACTACAATAACTTAATTGGCTCCTTATTATGGTGTAGAGTAATATTATTAATTATTTGGATATTATTAGTATGTTTGATATTAATTAGGTTACTAATATTGATTTCCATAAGGAGGCATCTAATTTGGAGGAACTGCCTGATTTTAAACTGGATAACCTTATTATAATTATGGTGTCTAATTTTGTTTCATTGAGTAGATTATTTCAGATGAAACCACTGGTTACATCACAGTCTAAGGTTGTTATTCATATTATTATTAGGATTCTTGCTCAAAATTAGTTAGAACAATATTTTCATATGGATTATCTGGGTAGATGATTTCAAGTAAAGGAGTAAACTAGATAGTATATAAATGACATACTTGCTAAGCTAGAAAGTCTCGAGGTAGCTTGGCAACTCTGAAAGTTAGAGATTCTAAGCATCCTTTTTTATAAGAACCAGAACTTGCGGTAAAGGTATATCCCATGAACATATAACTAAATTTATAACCTTAATCCTTTCCAAAGATGGCTTGTTATCCCTTATAAGTTATTATTCCTAATTAAGTAATTCCAGATTCGTAATATCCGAAAAGGACCTAAATGTAATCATCTGAATTTAAATTTTATTATTACTTAGACCTATTTCGAATTCATATTGACTAATGTTTTTACCAGTTATGCAAGTATCATTACATATTATTTTTCTTCCATTTTTAATATTTTAGTAAGTAAAAGAGATTCCGCATATTTAGTTTTCATTTAGACTAATTTTCACACCTGAAATTTTGAATTCATCATTGCCTAATTGCATCTTATCATCAAATTTTAATAGATCTTATCTATCCACTCCAAGTGTAATTAAGGCTGGAACTTTATTTGTCATAATTTAATAATTGTTTTTCTATATTAAAGTTTTCTATATAAATATATACCAAAAAGGATAATTAACACAAAAAATTTTATTTTTTAAATGTTATAATGATACTACATATTAAATTTCTTTAAATCAGTAATCTTATTCTATAAATCTAAAAATTCTTTAATTTATGCTTAATTTGTTTAAATTTATAGATCAAAATCGTATAAAAAATAATAATTGAACTGAACTTCTTTATAAAGCTATTTTACTATAAATCATTTAAATTACTTTATTTTTCATTTTATATGTTATTCTTACTAATAATCAATGAAAAGGATAATGGTTATGATTAAGTAATTAATCATATTGTTATTATAGCAAATATTTTTATTTAATTATAAAGAAAGTACTTTAATTTAGATCTCTAGATATATTCATACTATATGACAATTATGATATTATTTATCAATAATTTATTACTGTTTCAATTAAATATCACTTTATATAAAAAAGAGAGCATTTATAGAGAATATATTTTTTATAATTAATCTCTTATATGTCCAACCTTTTGATAACTTAATCAAATCCTTTATTTATTTAATTGATCATCTTAAGATAGATAAAATTACAATTAAATTAATTATTGATTTCAAATGGTTTTTTTAACTATAATCTTTGATTTTGTTTTTGAAAATTAACATATATATATAATAATAATATATATGAAATGAAAATATTATTTTGTTTTTCAGTTTTGTTTGTTTTATTTCTATTTATTTACAGGTGATAAGAATTATCCAATATATTGCATATATGTATTTTTAATTTAATCTTTAATAGTTGGAGATTGAGATCTTTAAGATGTATTAATTTCTGGTGGTACATTCACAGGTTTTGGAGACTAAGATCTTTACTTTTTATCGAATTCAGCTTTGATACCTGAAGGTCTAATATTTTCTAATTCCTCTAGAGCTCTTTTAATAGGACTTATTTCTATATCATAATTTCTTTTATAAGTATATCCATGAAAATATTTTTTATTTTCATTAATTAATTTATTTTTATCTTAATCTATATCATTTTAAATATTATGAACAACATTTTTCCATGGTTCTTTTTCTTCAAATTTATCAAAATTAGATGTTAATTTCTTTTTATCAGGTATATATGGAGGTTATTGATTTCTGATATTAATCCAATCAATACCAGAAAAAAAAGGATGTTTTTTTATTTTATTTGGATCTCCTAATCGTTCATTAGGATCACAGATAAATTTAAGAATTAAATCTTAACATTAAGCAGATATTTTAGGTTCTTTGGGTATTCGAAAATGTTGTTTCCATGATATTATTTTTTTACACGTTTTTTATGATGTATCACTATAAAATGGTGTATAACCTATGACCATTTCAAATAAAATAACTCCAACACTCCACCAATCAACTAATTAATTATATCCTTTTTATGAGAATATGTCTGGAGCTATATAATCAGGAGTGCCTACTGTAGAATATGCTAATTAACGACGTGAATTATTATTTTTAGATTATATTTCTTGAACATTATTTTTATATGGGATAGCCATATCATAATGTACACCTAAATGTTTACAGAGACCAAAATCAGAAATTTTAAGATGACCATTTGTATCAATAAGAATATTATCAGGTTTAAGATCTCTATGTATATAATTCATACTATGAATTTCTTCAACTGCTAATACAAGTTCAGCTATATAAAATTTTGCATGTCTTTCTGGGATTATATCTTTTTTAATCAATAAAGTCATCAAATCTCCTCCACTTAAAAATTCCATAACTAAATAAAGATTATCATCATCTTAAAAAGAGGATTTTAATTCAACAATCCATTTACATTTAGATTATACTAATAAATCTCTTTCTGCTCTTATATGTCCTAATTGATTTTTAAAGATCATTTCAGATTTTTTAATTTTTTTGATTGCAACAATTTCGTTTGTACTCTTATTTCTACATACTCTTACTTCTCCAAAAGCACCTCTACCAATAATGGCAAGGGATTCAAAATCTTCAACCGTAATCTTTTATCTCCTAAAGATTAAATCATATTAACTTCTTTCTTAATATCATTGCTTCTTTGCGTTGTATTTCCTTTTTTATCAACTCTTATTCTATAGGAGTAAAATTTAAGCTTTTAAGAATTAACTCCAATTATTGCCAATCTTATATCTTTTCCTTCTCTTCATCCATAAACACTTTATATTTTCTTTCTATATAGGCTTTGCAAGCATTGACTCTATCTTTGGTTTTATTACTAATTTTGATTTCTGCCATTTAATAATATGTTTATAATTGAATACTAATAGATAAATAATTATATAAATTTAAATGGTCATAATCTGAACATAAACGTTGTTTTAGGTTAAATCTATTATTTCTTTTATAATCCCATAAAAGATGAAGTTTTTTTAAGTTCATAAACTCTATCATAAAATTAATATGCATATTATTATAATGAAATTCTATCTTAAGATCTATTTGGAGATGTATCACTTCTTGTATTTAATGAAAATCTTTATTCATAATTTTTTTAATTTCTTCTTTATGAATAGAGATTCTAAACATCAAATGTAAATTAAGTTTATCTTCTGGTTGTATAAGGTTATCCTAATTTATTATTAATATAGATATCAAAATCCTTTCTTAATTTTGGAGATGAATTTTTATGTTCTGGTATTCCATTAAATATATTTGTAATTCTATTTTACATATTTCTAAGTTTATCTTAAGAAATTTCAGCTTTATTTTTTAATAAATAAGAATGTTTTGGTGGTGATATTTTTTTATTATAATTGAAATTATCCAAAAAATTAAGAGGTCTTTATTATTCATAAGTAGGTGTAATAGTTTGAGTAAAGTGATTAATTTAGAAATCACCTTAAATATTAATATATTTAGTAGGTGAATTTCCAGAAGCATAACTTTTAAATAGATCAGAAAATTATTAGGCTGATTTTTATCCAGATGATGTTAAAAGTTATGGTTCAATTTCTTATTTATTTTTTTATTAAGAATTTTATTTTTAATCAATTTATGTCCAATGTGTCTCAAATTCATTTATATCTATAGCTCCAGATTTTGACGTATTCAAATATTCAAACAAATATCTTATGGTTCTATTATTGATATATCAATCAAATAATACTCATCAGATTTTATATTATGATTTCTTTTTAATTCAGATTCCAAATCATCAATTTCAATTTCTCCAGAATTATTTATATCTAAATCATAATATGCTGTATTAATATCATTATATTTCTTTTTTAGAGTTTCGATTATTCCTTTCCATATTTTCAATAATTCTTATTAATCCATAATAAAATTTTATTTCTCTAATTAATTTATTATATAATAGTTTCAATGTATTAATCACTTTCTTTACTTGATTATTATTAATTATAATAATAAAATGAACATATATTTTATAATACAAAAACAGATTAAATAAAATTAAATATAAACAATCAAGTATTGTTATTGAATATGCAATCACTTTCAGAATCAAAAAAAAGGATTCATGAACAATCATATGCATAAAAGGTATCCCATCCTATAACTCCTGATAAATCTCATATAAAATTGAATGAATCTTTATTCAATGCAAAAATTGTTGCAAAGAAATCTTGTTCATTAATTAAAGATGTTCAAAAAGATGTATAATTGACAATTAAAAAATATGATGAATTCTTAAAACTTTCAAATACTCCTAACAAAATTCCTGATTCAATCACAAGTTCTCCATCCATAATGAAACCACATTAAATAGAAGAAACAACAGAACAAAAAGATGATGATTAAGCTCTTCTTAATCAATTTTAAAGATATACATATTCTCAAGAATTAAGAAGACAATCTCTACCATTAGAACGATCTGAATTGAGATTATCAAGTTTTAAAGCTAAAGAAGAACTCTTTCCTGTAGAAGACATAAGCCCAATCAAATAACAAAATAATAGTAATTTTGTATTTCGAAGGAATTCCTCTTAAATTATGACTTCTCCTCCTCCTCGTAAATAATCTTAATAGTCTATTCTCACAGATTATTAAGGAAGTTATGCTAAAATTCATTTACGTAAATCTCCAACTGCTCCTAAAATTGAGATTAAACAATAAGAGAAACCATAATCACCTCCAGATATTGCAAAACGTAATTAGGAATGGAAATAAAGATTAGAAGAAAAAATAAATTTTGAATAAAAAAGAAAGAGTGAAAAAGAAATGAAAGATTGTACATTTAAACCAAAATTAAATGAAACAAAAATGAGTGAGAAATCTAAAACAAAAATTACATAAAAAAATAAAAAGTGTATAAATAATTCTTAAACTCCTGAAGTTAAAGAAATAATGCATATCATTGCAGACTTAAATTAATTTAGTAAATAATTAAAAAAGAGATTGTGATGATTGAATAAAGATAAATGATTTAGAGATATATTTACTATTAAAATATAATATAATCATAAAGTGATATCATTATAAGTATTTTTGTTTTGTTTTTTACTATATGATTTCACTGAAAACTTTTTATTCAAGAATACTTTAAATTCATCTAATTTTCTTTTTTCTCTATTTCTTTTAAATGTAACCTCTTTATCTTCACGTGAAAAACTTCTAGATATCCTATATGATAAATCCTTAATTTCACTTCTTTCCTTATCAAGCTCCTCTATTATTTAATTGAATCCATATATTTCTGCTGGCTGATATTTTTAATTGACTTTCTCAAATTTAGGTTTTTAGAAGAACTTTTAGACTTTGATATTTATTGTGACTCTTTTTTATTTCTCTTATTATTATTAAAATGTCTTAAGATTACTAACTCTCAAGACTTTCTAAGAATATTTATCACTCAATAATTATGATATTGGGATAGAATTAGTAGTTACAGTAGTTGGTAATTAGTATTCTATATTAATGATAGGTTGTTTTTTAAGAAATGTTTACAAGGTTAATTATCTTTAGTTCATTTATAATTATAATATCAGATGTAACCCATTTTAGCTGCAATGTCTTCTTTTGTCAAACCATCCTTATCTTTACTTGCATCCTAAATGAATTCAAGAATGTCTGCATCACTTATTTGAATATCCAAATATTATGCAAATACATTCTTTATTTCTGGTAATCCTACTTTACGATCCCTTTAATTTAATTTTCATTTATACTTTCTTACAAACAATTCATAAATTTCATCTATTTCATCATCTCTTCCTTTATTTTCAAACCACTTTCTAGATATCAATTAAATAACATCTTTTAATGAAAAACTATCACGAGTTCTAATAATAAAAGGATATAATACTCTTCTACAACATCTCTTATTTCTTCTTCTATGTCTTTTACTGTTTTATTAATGAAACCAAAATTGCCCAATATTGATCTCATATTTTAACGATTAATGAATCCTGTTCTTGATGGATCATAAAAATTGAAACAGTCTCTAATTTCTGATTCCTATTATTATTTTTATATCATAAAATATAAATTACCATATCATCTGGGAGTTTCTAAGTGACTTATTGTTTTGGACCTTTGCTTTAATTTTTGGGATTTTGAAGAAGAGTTTACTTTTTTTTATCTTATTTCATAGGGTAATTTAATTATTATTTAATTATTAAATAATATTAATGAATAGCAACAGCAAATCAATATATAAAAATGTTGAATTCCAAGATGAACCCTACTCAACCAATAATAAATTTGCCGTGTATGTTCCAAAACAAGAAATTCCCAAATATTCTGCATCCCAACAAGTGTTTTATAATCAACAACAACAGTAGTCACCCTAAAAACAATTAAAAGTAGAGTTTCAAGATGAACAAGAAAATCGTAATCTCTAAAATCAAATTGAATAATAACAATTTGAATAGGAATATTAGTAGTCTTAAAGCAATCAACCAAAAGCTGAAATCCAAAATCATAGAAATGTAACTTAAAATAGATACAGATTAACAAATCAAACTCCTAAGACTGCTTAAGGAAAGGATTAATAGAAATTTTATAGTTCTACTCCTTCTCAAAGCATTATTAAATAGAGAACTCTATAATAATTCAAGAATAGTTTGTATTTTGATGAAAGAATTAACAAAGTACCAAAATCAACAATAAGAAATCACATTATTGACAGTATTGTTAGTGATGCTGATTTGTTACTTTAAAGAAGAGAGTTAATGACATCTATTTATAAATTAAAACAACTGAATCTATTAAAAAATAAAGAATTTGCAGTGTAAACTTAAAATATCAATTTAGGAATCGTCTTCCAGGAGTTGGAAAATCAAGTTTTGTGTATAATGATTATCACACTAAGAGCACAAATAATGGATACTCTAGAAATTTCGGTGGAGTATTTTATACTAGATGATTAATATGATTAATATATCTATTATAAAATAAGCATTATAAAATTATATTCTAAGTCCTGAATAGTCTATGATTGAAATTCAAGTAATCCTATTATTTCCATCAAAAGAATAATATAATATTATTATATATTCTATCAATAATACTATTTCACTTATATTTACAAAAGTGATTATGAATGAATGATTATTTAGCATTTTGAGAATAGACTTCATAAACAAAAATTAAAAATTTTTTTAGTAGATAGTAAAATATTGACAGAGTTGATGTTTATAATATTAAATGGAGTGATTTGATAAGAGAGAGATGAATTAAAAGAATAATAAGGTTAATATTTGTTGTATTCTTTGAATTGATGAATAATTTTATTGTAGTTATATATGACATAAATTAAATAAAGATATATTTATTTTTAAAATGGTAACAAATATCACTAATAATCATGTTAGGGAGTTGATGCATATAAGAAGACAAGAGTATAAAGAAATGTTTAAAGAAAGGTGACCTCAACAAACCTTTATTTGAAATTGTTAATCAAGGTATTTTAATAATTGATTTGAATCTTAGTTATATAAATTCTTAGCCAGAAGAACAGATTCAAATTTCAATGCAACAATTTTAAGAAGACTCTAATAAACAAGAACTGCTAGATATCCAATTAGTGTTAGCAGACTTGTTAAATAAATTAATACAGCCAAAGATAAGACAAGAACACTTGTTGTTGTAGGCACTGTCACAGATGAGTAATTATTTATAAAATAGCATTTAGTGTACGACTCCTCACTGTTCCAAAGATCAATGTTTGTGCTTTAAGATTCACTGAAACAGCAAGAAAGAGAATTCTTGCAGCTGGTGGAAAGGTCTTGACTTTTGATCAATTAGCACAATAAAACCCAACTGGTATATAAATAATTTAATATTTAAAGGCACTGGAACAATCTTATTAAGAGGACCAAGAGTTAGAGAAGAATTGAAGCATTTTGGTAGAGCTGCAGGATTACCAGGATCACATGCTAAGCCATATGTTAGTCACACTGCAAGAAGAGGAAAAGGTGCAAGATGATTGTTCTTTTTAAGTACATTAATATATAAAAAACATAGTAATCATTTTATCAAAAAATTAATTATATTTATTCTCCATTAATTTTAATATATGAATAATTCAATTCTTCATATAATAATATTAAATCTTCCATATTTTTCATTAATCTTTTCTTTTTTGTTCATTCCCAATTTATCTAAAAGAAAAATTGAATTTATTTCTATTATTATTTTTATTATTTAATCTTTTTTTTCTTTGATTTAACTAAATGATATCAAATTTTTATTTAATATTATCTTGAAATATATATTCCAAAAAGAATAGATATTATTAATTAATTATTCAATTAAAATAGAATCTCATATTATTTAATAAATAGAAGTTCAATTTTATTCACTATTAAAACATTTTATAGATAAGATATTATTGGGACTTTCTTTTGTTTAAATTCAACATCACTAAAGCATTTAATTACTATTATAATAGTTAAAATTTCAATTAAGTATAATAGAGATATTTAATTAATGAATTAAAAAAAAAATAACGAAATATATTAAATCATTCTATTTGTTGATGTTTTAATAAATATTAAGTTAAAACATTATCACTTTATAAATTTAAGAAATGTCCTCTTAATTAAGCTAATTCAAGCCAGTGTTACCAAGACTTTTTATTTAATTCTTTATTACCACTATATCTGAATCTTGTAATCATCATCTTCCAATGACATTCCAATTATAGCATACAAAATTTATAATTTACAATTTCAGTCAATCCTGATATTTTAATAATTTATTATAATGTAAATTGTACACTATGCATTAATAATTTTGGATTTTAGAGTATCTTTTCTATGTATAATCTAATAGTTTCCATTAATAAAGCTTCTTCTCCAGGCCATAACCTTCTATTTTTGCCTTATCCATATAATGTATTTAATCCATCAATAATTTCATGATATGCAATATTTCTAGGAATTGGAAAATTTTTTTTATTCTTTTCTATTTATTTCCTTTCATCTTAAGGTAATGTTGGTATCCAAGCCTATAAAATTGATTAATTTGTCTTATTAAAAAATGCTTAACCTTATGGAAGATATTTTAGTATAACATCTGATTGATCCTTTGTATGATCCAATAATATAGGTTATTTATTAATGTCATTCATTTAAGTATATTATCTATGAACATTAGAACTTTTATTCATTAGCATTGGTTTTCTATTCTAAAATTCTTTCTTTAATAAATCAACTGTTTAAACACATTAATCATCCCGAGATTTCCTAGTTCTTGATATACTAACAATAGCAGAATCAGCTAGATTGCTATTTTGATATAATAGACTTAAGTCTAATTATATGGTTGCCTAAGGTTATGTTTGTCTTTTTCGAGGAGTTGAATTTCTTCTGTTAGATGATGGGCCTCTTAAACATTAATAAAAGAATGAGTTATTCTAAAAATTAAGGTCCATTGTAATTAAATAAATATATGAACATAAGTTTTATAATCATTTTTCTACATCCATTTTAGTTCCTTTTATTAATTATTTTGATATTTCCTTTGTAATCAAATGATGCTTCTTTTTACTAATTAATCTTTTTAATTAATCTTTATGATCTTATTTAAGTTAATACAATTCACAGACTCTCAAAATCATTTAATGCCATATTACTGGCATTTCTCTTGAATCATTTTCATATCTCATAAAATATTTAATAACTTCATCTAATGCCTAAAATATATATAATATTAATTAATACTCTTTCTGGAAGAGAAAACTTCTTTTCAATTAAAACTTTCAATATAACAGCAACAGGTCCTGTAAAATCTAATTAAGCTACTTTAAAAATAGCTATTGAACCATGAATAGGTGGAATATGTAACTAAATAATATCAAATTAATAATTATTACTTTATGTATAACACTACCTATAATTTATGCTTCTTTTAATGTAAAATCTTTTTCTAAACATAAAGGAAATAATATTGATCTGAACCATGCTTATGGTTTATACATAGCTTTAATTAATGCATTATATAAATGAACATTTAATCTTTTATCTTCTTAAATACTTAATCTGACTGCAGGTAATATTATAGTGGAATATAAATATTCAGTTTGTTATCTATCTAAAGCAGATGAAAATATTTTAGTAGCTGCAAAGATAGCTTAAGGAGACCATTCTTTTGGTTTAGTTAACTCAAATACTTATTTCCAATGTTCTAATTTTGGTATGAGATGGAATGGTTATGGTAATTTACCTGATCTATATGTTTTCATTAATTCTGCAACACTAAATTTAATTATAATTTATATACTTTTCATATACACATACTACTTTTGGATTATTCATAATATTTTCATGATGTTTTTTATTTTCATCATCTTATAATCCTTTTTAAAAATCTTCTATAATTTAATTAGTTTTAGTATCATTTCCAACCATAAATTATTATAATATTTATTCATCTTCAGGTGATATTTTTAATGAATCAATTATAAATGTATTTGGTAATTCAAGTACATCATCTTATTCTTCAAGTTATTCTTATTATTTATCTTTTGGTTTTCTTGTTTATTTTTGAGTTTCTCTTTTGATTTTTCTTAATTCTCTCATTCCTTTCTTTTTTTCTCCAAGTCTTCTTAAAAGCTTTCCTGGTTATTATGTTAATGCATTGGTACTGATAAAACCAACTTTTTTATTTGATTATTTTAGAACTCCTTAAGATGTACGTAACACTCTTTATTTTTTTGATGTCTTTTTAATTACCATTAATTATATTAATATAAAATGTAAATCAATAATTCAAGGCAATATTCCATTTGTTCTCTTCTGAAAATTATCATATTAAGCTGTTCTCCAACTTGATAAACTTTAATTTATCAATCTATCTACTAAACTCATAATCTATAGATATATATATAAATATTTATACTTCTTAATCAGTTGCATTTAATTAAAATCTATTAGTAAATACCTTTAAATCTAAATTAGCAAAACAAGGCAAATCTGATTTTTCAACCATTATTTTAAAGAAATTCTCTATTTCTATTACATACTTCTTTAAAGCTAAAAATCCTTTTGTCATTAATGATTTGAAATATCCAAAATAATCACTTTCTCTACCTTTCATTAATTCCAAATATTCTTATGTCAATTTAAAAGGTGCTGATTCAAAATTAACACCACCTGGAGATGTTTACAATAAGAAACCAAAATCAATATGAATAATATGACCTTTATCATCTATTAATAAATTTCCATTATGTCTATCTTTAATCTATCAATTAAGTAATATTGTTTTATACCTACATCAAATATGAAAACAAAGAATAACTGGCTAAACTTTCAATAAAATTCTTTTATGCTTCTTCAAATGAGTTTCCAAATACTTCTTAATATATTTAGTATAATGTTTTAGTACCATTTCCGAACATTTTCTTAAGTGAATCAATTGATATTGTATTTGGAATATATTCTATTAAATGTACATATACAATACCTACAATTCCAGAATTAGCTGAAGTAACAATAATTTAATATGGTCTTAAATAGAGATTCAAATCTGATTCTTTAAATATCTTATTGAATTATTTCATCATTTAAATTGCAAACATTTCTTATCTTAGATCATCACCTCCTTTTATTATAATAGGTCTAATCTTAAAAGATGGAAAGTTTTGGTATCTTGATTCTTTTTTGTAACTTTTTATTTTTTCTTCCCAACTCTTTTTTAATTATATAATTAATTTACTTATTCCCATAATAGAAAATTTCTTTTTTTAAATTTATTAAGCATATATAATTTTTCTACTGGTAATATCATTTATAATTATTTCTGAAATTCATTATGTTTATCTTCATTCTTTTCTTAAGATTTTGATTTTCGTATATTTTAAGGTAATCTAATAGTTTATAATGATAATAATCTTTTATGATGAAATACATCTTATTATTATTATTATTATTATTCTGTATTCTTTTTGTCTTAATCATCAGAGATTTATTATTTCTATTGTTATCAATTGATGTTACTTTCACTTATTTTTACATATATTGATCAATACTTTACATTATCTAACTTTATCGTTTTCCTTTCTTTTCCATTTTCATAATTTTCTCTAAAGCTTCATGATATAATTTTTATTCTTCCAAATCTATTTATGCCATTTATCTTTCAAATCCTTAATCATTCAATTAAGCCTCAATATAACCAGCTACTTCAATATTGGCCTACAATTATGCTGGTATAACCTGATATTGATTCATTTCTATGGGACTATCTCTAATAAACAAAATTTTTACTTAATTGTTTCTACTAATATCAAATAAGGTACTCTTTTTTTAGTATGAAAACAAATTTAATGTTTTTCCATAATATTTACTATACAATTAGAATTATTCTATTATTTATCATCATCATAAAATGGTAATGATATTCCTAATTAAAATTTCTTTACTATTCTCTATAAATTTTAATTTTATTTTTTTATAAGTAATTTTAGATGATGTTTACGATCCTCTTTTGCAAATTCTTTCAATACTAAAGAATGTTTAATCAAAGTTCCCATAAATCTTTATACTTCTGTAAAATATTCTTATCTTAAATCTTTTTCTTAAAAATCTTTTAATAAGATTTTATTCTATTCTTCTTTATCTAATTATTCAAATCTCTTCTCATTAAATTAACCATTTACCATTGACATTTCCATTTACTAATATTAATTTTACACAAATACTCTTAATAATTGATCTATCTTCTACTTCTTCTTCTTATGCTTCTCTAATTATAGATATGCCCCCAATAACCAATACAACTTTAACGTTCATATAAATTATGTACATTAAAAAACATTGACATTGATTGATTACACAACTTCTTAAAGAAATCAAATAGTTATTAAACTTCTGTCTTTATAAGCAATTAACAAAATTAAGGTGAATAAAATGTTATTGTCTTCTCTGGTATTTTTATCATACATTCAGCTAATAAATTTAAAACATCAGGTTAATCCCTATATTTTGAAATATTTTGCAAAAGCATCTCAGGAGTAAAGTATTCCGAATCAAAGAAATTCTTTAAACTCTTTAATTTATCAGCATTCATTTAATTATTAATAATATTATATTAAAGCTCTTTTTATGAGATATCAAAATAAGAATCACATTACTTTCAATTACATTTAATAATAAATTATATAATGACTCAAAATAATTAACAATTCCCTTTCAATCCATTTAATCCTATCAGAACATACAGACTCTATTCCTAAAGGAGCTAAAATACTCATCAAAAAAATAGATAAAATTCTGTACATTTAATTTAGAAATCAAATGTTGCAAACAATCCCTAGAATAAAATGGGAACAAATAATTATGAATTATTTATAAGAAATATTGAAAACAAAGGATTAAAATCTGATCAAAATTTTCAATCTTACATTAAGAAATTAGAAGAAAATAGAAAATTTTCTAAAAACTTAATTCATTAAACAAAATAACAAAAAAAAGTTGAATTAATATAAATACCTTAATATGAAGATGATTTAAAGAATATAATTTGTAGTCCTTCAATTAAAAATACACTTAAGGATTAAAAGAAAGAAAAGTTTTAACATCAGATTACTGAAATGATTACTGAAATAAAGAGTCCCTTTTATAGAAAGGGAAGGTATTTATTGAATGAAGATAAAGATAAAGATAAGAAATTAGCTAAACCTTTATTTATTGGAATTCAAAATTAAATCAATTAATAAAAAAAGTGTAAACAAGTCTAGTCTTAAATTGATATCAACAAATGTATAACAATATTATATTTTAGTAAGATTTAAGATATTTTTTGATGATTATAATCCATTAGCACAAATTATTACAAGTTAATAAAGTGTTTAGAAAGAAGAAACAATTAATGAATCACCATCAAAGACAGATTAATAATTAATTGTTGAATAATGAACTATATTAATATACTTTGTAATTTAAGAATTTTCATTGTGATGTCTTTTTTAACTCTTCCAATTCCAAAGCTTTTTTTAAAGCCTCTTATTAATGTCTTGATTTTATTCCTACTTATCCTCCTCCAATTGTTCTTAAAAGTTCATGATTTTCATTATAATGTTATCTCAAATCACGAGCCTTATAATTATATTAAATTATTACTAAATTATCAAATTCAGCTTGATCCTCTTTTCTGACATCAGTCAAAGCAACACAAGTAGCTGTTTTTTAATGAACCAATGCTCCCAATCTAGCCTTATCTAATATTATAATATAAAAAATTAATACTTTTTATGAAGCAGAAAGGAACTTCTTATCTTCTACATAATTAAGGTAACCATACTACTAATTCAATTGGATCTACATCATAAGCTATTAACACTAGTTTTGCTTTTTTAGTTTCAACCAATGTAGTAACATGATTAAGACCAAATTTCAAGACTTATACTTTTTTTGATTCACCTTTTTAAGCTTATGCTTTTTATTCAGCTAATTTTGTTAATCTTTGTTTCTTTTCAGTTTTTGTTTCTGGTGAATATTTCTTCAATAAACTCAATACTTTAGAAGCTGATAACTTTAAATGATAATATTTTACATTAATTTTTATCTAATGTTCTGCTGAATTAATGGATTGCAGCTGGTACTTTGATTCTTTAAAGTAATATTTTCTTTTATCTATGAAGTAATATATATCTAGGCCATCTAACATATCTTGATAGATCTCTTTTTGGTTAAACATCATTGCCAATTCTGAAATTTTTAGCTTCCTTAACAAATAAAGGATTCTTTTTTCTATCTGCAACTCTTTTTTATAATTTTTTAGCTTTAGATGTTTTTGCTGCTTTAGGCTATGAATATCAATATATTTAATACCATTTAATATCTTTTTTAAATTAAAATATAATATATATAGATAATGATTATTCATATTTAAAGAAGTATTATATTTATTGATTGGTTTCTATATAAGTTCTTAAGGTATTGAAATAAATAGGGGATGTATATTATTATTAAATAAAATTCTAATAAAAAATAAAGATTGATATTAATAAATAAATGGATACTAATAAGTTAAGAAGTTCAGGTTATCAATTATCAGATAGAGTTTAATTTGGTGGTGTTTTTGAACCAGAAAAATGCAAATAGATAGCAAAACAAGTGATGGAGTTGTATGATTCAAACAAGGATGGTTATATTGAATAAAACGAAATAGCCATGATGTTATCAGATGCCTATAGAGCTATGAATAAAGGATTTAATCCAACTTCTTAAGATGTTTCTAATTGTTAGGCCATTTTAGATAGTAAGTTTATAGTTATTTTAAGGGAAATCGACTGGACGTGTTCATACAGAGGATATTGAATAATTGGTTTAGAAGTACTTTTCTGGACAACCACCAGCTTAACCAGTAAAGAGAGTACCAGAGAAGTTGTCAAGAATAGCACAAGAAAGATTGGAGGTGGCTAGACGTATCTTTAAGTTTGTGGATAAAGATGGATCAGGATTTTTAACTGAGGAAGAGGTAACATAATTGTATTTATAAATTAAAAGGTACCTGAGTTATTGAAAGAAACTTATAAGCATATGGGAATGAATGATTATTAACCAACAAAGGAGGATGTAACTATTTGGATTTAGATGACTGATACTGATGGAGATGGTAAAGTGACTTTAGAAGATTATGAATAATTGGTATTGGATTCATTAAGAAAACAAGGAATCAGTTTGGAATGATTAAATAAATAAGTAGAATATATATAATAGTAATTGCATTTCAAAGCAATAATTAAACTGGACTAATTATTGAGGGTGACTCTAAATAACTATTTATATAATGGTTGAGTTTTAATTTGCGTTTCTGTTGGAATTATTTCATTTTTCTGCATTCAACATATAATTCTTATTATGAGTAATTGCATTCTTCTAAGAATTGTTTCATTTCAAATTCTTTGAAGAAGTTTTCAAGATCTAATGATCTATATGTATTTGACTTATAACTAAACTCTGGTAAATTGACTATTTGAAGTGACATTAATGTTTCAGTTAAAAATTAATTATTAAATTATTATATCTCCAATTAAGCAATATATGCAACATACTCCTCTTTGTTAGATTAATTTTTATTATTAATAAAACTAAAAAGAAAATGTATATGTTAACTATATTATTAATTAAATATTTGAATTTTTGTATATAAAGACTATTCATTATTAATGAGTACCTTATCAACCATTTGTCAGAAACACATCAAACATATAGAAGGTATCTTATCAACAAAATACTTAGCATTCTGTTCCGATGATTGTTCTTTATTATGTATTAATTGCATCCTCTACGATGGTCATAAAGGCCATTAGTTTCAATCACTAGAAGATGTATTCCCTATCCCTCTATTTAGAGTTTAAGATTAGAATTAAATAGATTCTACTCCATCTCTGAAAATGTTCAATTAAATCACTAGAAAGCCATTAAACAATTTCAATAGTTAGCATAAATGAATGACCAACTTGATATAGACTATCAAAGACTTAACATAGAAATCACCAAATTCTTCAATTCAATTCGTTAATCCATATAAGAGCGAGAATCTAGACTTCAAGAATAAGTATACTACTTCTCCACCTATCTATTAGTTAAATTAGTCACTCATCAATTAGAGACAATAGATTTCTTAAAATCAATCAAAGATCCAAGTCCAATTATAGGATATAAATGATTATTTACAAGAACTATCTGAATTAGATGAAAAGTCTTAGGATCCTATAAAATTTCTATAGACAACTCAAAATAGAACTAAACTCATTAATAAATTACCTAAATCCATAGTTACAATTGATTAGACTATTAAATTCCCTGAACTTAATAAAGAATTAGAGAATTAAAACCTAATTAAAGTTTTATCAAAAAAAGTCAATTCTCAATAAGTCTTGCCACCTCCACCTACATAATAGACTGCATCCACTCAATAAAAAATTGTTTAATCTATAAAAAAATAGAGTAATAATAATTAGTAGTAACAATCTTATAATGCTCAATATCAATAATAATAGAATTAAATTCTTTAATTATAATAATAATAATAAAAAAAAATGAATTAATCTAAAAAAGTACCATTATGTGAAACTAATGGACCTTGTGCTGTTTAAATTAATTTAAAAAAAAAGGTTGAAGAAAAATAAAATAATTAAGTGAGATTAACAAACTTTTAGGAAGCTAGAAATTAAATGAAAGAAAGAAATTATGATAAAAGTATAGAAAGAAGAAAAGATAGAGATCATAGTACTCCAAGAAGATTATTTAAGAATTAATCAAAAGTTAGTTAAGATCCTTAATCTCCTTTTTTAAATTAAGATGATTCAAAATAAGAAATGAATACATTTTTAAATTCAATTCATGATTTCGAACCTGAATTAACTAATGTTAGTCATATGTCAATGGATTATTAATATATCACAATAGGTGGTTTTGTTGATAGTTTAAAATAAATAGTTGAAAAATATGATATAAAAACTGATTATCCTAGTGAGAAAGATTAATTAAAAAATAATAGATGTAAATTTGGAATTGCACATTTAATTAATGGAAATGTTTTATTAATAGGTGGCAAAGTTGATGGAGTTCGTATTGATACTTGTGAAGAATATAATTATAAGGATAAAAAGGTTATTCCATCAAAAATAAAATTACCATCTTCTAGAAGTGGATTCGGAACATTAAATGTAAATTAATTTATTTATGTAATTGGTGGTAATGATGGTTAAGGTAATTAAAATTATTAAATTTTTTAGAAAATTTAAAAGATTTTGATTGTTTTAATTAAATTGATAATAATTGGATTAAATTTCCATCTATGATTGAAGCTAGAGATGAATTAGCTGTTTGCATGTATGAAAATGCCATATTTGCCATAGGAGGATTTGGAGGTTAATGTATATAAAATATTATTATCTATTTTAGTCAATACTTGTCTAAAAACTGTTGAAGTATTTACTTCAGGGAAATGGGGTCATTGTGCTCCATTAAATATACCAAGAAGAGCATTAGCAGGTGTTTCATTACCTGATGGTATTTATGCAATTGGAGGATTTGATGGAACTTAATATTTAAATAGTGTAGAAAAATATGAGGATGGTAGATGGACATTAATAGAGTCTATGATTCATCCTAGATGCACATTATCAGCATTGCCAACTCCTGATAATTAATATATCTATGTATTTGGAGGATTTGATAATGGTCCTTTGGATTCAGTTGAAAAGTAAGATTATATATTTAATTAATAGATATTCAGTGTTGAGTGGAAATTGGGAAGAAATAAATTCATTAATGGCTAAGAGATTTATGCATTAAACTTTTATTACACTAGTATGATTCTTTTAAAATAAAATCATATATATATAGTTAAATATAATTAGAGAATGTAATGGATATATATAAATAATAATCATTTTAATTTTTGTTTATTGACAACCTAAATTAAATTAGTAGTTTAATCTATTTATTTAGATTGTTATACTTAATTCACAATTCTTCTTTCTGTCAATAATTTTTTTTGTAAATCAATACTTTGAGCATAGAGATTGGAAAGTTTCATCTCTTTCATTGATTCGAAAGATTAATCACAATCATCAAATGCATATAATTCTGAAGGTTTATCAAAATTTGAAAGAATATGATAACTTTTTCTATTTCTCATGATATTTCCGAAATACTCTTTTTAATCATCTTATTTTTATTAAAATCTTTCTATTAACATTTATCCATGAATATATTTAAATAATTGCACATCCTTAATTGATGGAGGTGCCTTCTTATTTTATATATTGATATCAAATTCTGTAAAATATTTACGATGCTTTCTATCAGATATAATTTTCAATTTTGCCTTTCTTTTTTATTTAAATTCAATAGAATGTAATGCATCTTATTATTATTTAAAATATTATTCAACATGATCTTAAACTTCTAAAGAGGCTGCTTATTTCAAACAATATTAGGTTTAAGATTTAATATGCTTTTATTTCTTATTAAATTTTAACTTAATTCCAGAATTACTATAATCATAAAGTTTTGTTGGTTCACATTATCTAACTCCATCAATTCTATCAGTCAATAAATCCTTTGATTTAATTTTAGCTATATGATCAACTATATGGTTATTTAATTGAGAGAACATTCTACTTCCTTTCAAGTTAGATTCTAGCTTCAAGGACTAAATTAAAGATATATAAAACTGTTTACTTCTCTTAATTTAATATTTGTATTAATCAATGTCCTTACTTTTGCAAATCTTCTTTCCACTAATTCCTTTCTTAATTATTATTCCTCTTTTTGTTTATGGAATTCTTATTCTAATTATGTTAATCGTTTCCTCTTTGTTACTACATTCATATCTTTTACCAATTTATTTGCAGAGTACTTCCCATCTAAAAATAATCGAAACTTCTATCCATTAACCTTATCATATTAAAATGCATTAGGTATATCAATTGGACAATATTTTGCCATTTCATCACTATTCCATTTTCTCTTTTTCTATTCAATTGCCTATCTCTCTGCTTAAGGACTGTTAATTTCAGAAGGATATTGTTTCGAATGAATAGTTGTTTAAAGTTCAGATTCTGCATTCAAGCATTTCATAAGTCAAATTTTATAATTAACTAATATAAAAATTAAATCATTTATTTAAAGTAAATAGTTTTAAGACACTTCAAGGTACAATTTATTGTTATTATTTACTAATCATTAAAAACAAATTCTTTATATGAAAATTTATTGATAAAAATATTATTTTTTTGTAATAAATTCAAAAGATGGGTACTTGTTCATCAAAGAAATTACCAGCAAGAAATAGAAAATAGGACATTTTAGATCGTTCTCATTAAATAAAGAATATGGAATACTAAAATATATCAGAATGTTAAATTGAATAATAATAATAATATTAATAATTGCTTCCATCAAATATTCCAATAGAACACACATCAACCATTCCTACAATATAGAGCAACCTACATAAATTTCATCTTTAAAAGGAATAAAATATTCAAATTTAGAAAGATTTATCTGCTAGGTAATTGTAAATAGATTAAGTTTGTGCAGTTTGTAATAAACATGTTAATCAATAACAAATGATATAAATAAAAAAATGTAAACACATTTACGATATTTATTGTTTTACTAATCATTTTTAAGAAAATAAAAATTGCTGTTCTGATGAAAAAATAATAATTAATGAAACAGAATATCCAAAAGCATAAGTTAATGAAATAATGAAATATCAATTGAATCAATTAATAACAAAAATATAAGATAAAATGATAGTTGTACAATGTCAAACATAATTTTGTTCTTTTCTATTTTTTTATTTAAAAGAATGGAATTTATAATAGAGCAAAAAATTCTATTGTATTAGATGTAATTAAACAATGAAATATGATAAAAAAATGTGTAAATTTATTGACTAATAAACTGCATTTTAGAATTAAAATTAAAATGATGCATAGGTATATAATAAATAAGAATTTGAATCATATGGATGTTAAGTAGAAGATCATTTTATAAAGACTAATATTTTAATTATATTACCTTGTTCTCATTAATGGTGCAAGATATGTTTATTTTTATATTATAAAGATTGTTTGAAAGCAATATGTTATTGTGGGGAACGTTATCCTACAAGTATTGTTAAATAAATAAATTAAGAAAATGAATGGGATGATATATATGAAAAATAATTAGATATAATTTAAAAAGAGGCAAAAATAAGTTGGTAATTTTGTAAAAATAATTGTGGTTTTTTTTCAGAGATTAAAAATCTAGATGATTCATTTTATTGTATTAAATGTGATCCAATTAAAATTTGTTAAAAATGCTAATAAGATGTATAATCTTAATATGTCACAATTAATTAATGTTAACATTATTATCATTTATTATGTTCACTTGAATTATTAATGGAAAATTAACTTAGTAATATGAAATGTTTATGTGGTGTAAAATTAGATGAAGATACAAAAAAAAATGAAATGAATATCATATGTTTCTATTGTTAGAAATATGATGATGATTTAATCATGTTATAATGTTGTCATTTTATACATAAAGAATGTTTAGAGGCAAATTTAGAATTTTTTTCATCTTTTTTATGTCCACTTTGTGATATTCCATTAGGTAATATATTATTTGAACCAAAATTATAATTAATTGGATAAAAATTGATTGATATGCATCAAAATTAAAAAGAAGATAAATTAAATAATTATTAATGCAAACATTGTTCTTATCATTTTAAAATGGATAATAATTGTTATTTTTAAATGCATTTATAAGGTAATTAACAAATTAAATATGATGATAAAAAGGTTATAAATAATGATAATAGTTTCAAATGAATTGCTTATCATAAACTTTTTTTTAATTATCTATTTAATTATAAAGAATTTATATAAATAATAGATATATGTTTAATTTATTAAAGTATATAATATAAACTATATATATATATATTTTTATTAAGAAGAATGCCACCCAAGAAATAACATCTTAAAACTTAATCATCAGAGTTATCAAATTAAGTTCTTATGAATTATCAATCAAATCGTGAGGCTTTGAATATAAGAATGTCTAATTCACCAATATTCCAAATAGAATGCAAAGTATTAATTTGTCTTTACTTAAGAGTAAATAAATTGGTCTTCACTAATCTACTATATTTAAATCCAATGCTTCACAGCCCAATCTCAAAATTACTTTATAATAGTACTTATGGCTATAGATGTAGATAAACCTAGCGGAAAATATAATAATAAGATATACTAAAATCAAAAGGATTCATGTCTCCTAAGATCACTAGTTAAGAAAGAGTTAATCACAAAACATAACCTAAATCTAGAGGTAATCATATGAAAACTTAACCTCAAACTTATTCGAATTAGAATTCTTAAACTAAAATGAAATCTGTAGAAAGCATATAAGATGACTGTAAACTTTAAATTCTTAATCCTAGCTCCAAAATAATTATTTAAAAATTAATAATACTCACCCTCACCAAAACCAGAATAATCCTTTAAATAATAAACTTCTGAAACAAAATAAAAATAATCATCTGATCTCTTAGCTAGATTAAATTTCTAAACATCTTTCATTGTTTCTAGTGTCAAGAATTAAACTAACTTGTTTTCTGGACCATAGATTTATTAACTATAAAATCATTAAAAATCAAATAGTGCTTAATTTATTGAAACATAAAAATTATATACACAAAGTTCTTCATAACCTCGAATTGAAATTTAGACAGAAAAAATTAAAACTATTACAACTAGGTACACATTTAAAATGGATTTAGAAAATTTTAATAGGATTTTATTTAAATCATCTTACAATTTAAATCTTTAAAATAGAAAATGACTATTGATATCTCGACTAATAAAATATAATACTTAGTAGAATTAATCAAAGAAGAACTTAATAAAAAATTCGTTGATAATGATTCTCTCTAAATAATTGGAATTAAAACATACAATATTTCTATACCTATTGATTATATACTTTCTTCAATTGATAGACCCTTATCTTTACTTTCCAATTGTCCTAATCAACCTTTAATCATAGAACCTATTTTATAAACAGAATAAGAAAATAGATTATCAAGAGTTTGTTTAAGAGATTTCGAATTCATTAGATGTATTGGAATGGGTGGATTTTCTAAAGTATATATGGTAAGGGAAAAAAGATCAGGATAATTTTATGCCATGAAATTAATTGAAAAAATCTCCATTATTTCATAAAATAAACAAAATATTATTTAAAATGAAAGAGACTTAATGAGTAATTTGAATCATCCTTTTATTGTTAAAATTTAATATGCTTTTGAATCCAGAAGATATTTAGTTTTTGTCTTGGAATATTGTTCAGGAGGAGAATTATTCTTCTTACTAAGAAAAGTAATCAATTTCTATTAATCTTATTTTAGGTTAAAAGAATGAATGAAGAATAAGCATTTTTTTATTTTGCAGAAATCTGTTTAGGTATGAAACACTTACATGATAAAAGTATAATTTATAGAGATATTAAACCTGAAAATATTTTAATCGATTTTGATGGACATGTAAGAATTGCAGATTTTGGACTATCAAAATAATTAGATTAAGAAATAGCCTATTCATTTTGTGGATCTCCAGAGTATATGGCTCCTGAAATGTTATTAAAATAAGGACACAATTTACAATTAGATTTATATTGTTTAGGGGCATTACTTTATGAATTAATAACTGGATTACCACCTTTCTATTCCAGGAATACAGATGAAATTTACTAAAGGATTTTAAATTAGAAATTAAGCTATCCACCATAAGTGTAGATGTCTTCTCTTCTAAAAGATTTATTGAATGGATTATTAGCTAAAAATCCTAAAAACAGAATAGATAGAATTGAAACTCTATTGAGACATCCATGGATGAATTAATGGGGTGACAAATACTTGTACAAAGAATTACTGTCTAAAAAGATAGATCCTCCTTTTAAACCAAATTATTACTCATTTAATTTTGATGAAGAAGAATTTGGTTAAGGAGATGCTGAATTTTTACAGTAAATTAAAACTCTCTAATAAAACATAATGGAGAATTTTCCAAAAGAAACAATATTAAAAAACTTTTATTACAATCCTAAGGAAATTAATTGTGCAGAAAGCACAAGAGGTACTAATTTAAGTACTAAATTATTGGAGGAGTAATAAGTAACTTAGAGATAAAAATCAAAAAGATTCAATACATATGAAGATGATATTTCAAATTATGTAAATGAATAAAAAATTTTGCTATTAAATTAATTAAGATTATAAACTGAGAATGAAATAAAAAGGAAATCTGCATGAATAATTATTATTTAAATATAATACAATTTTAGATTAAAATTTATTTTGCCTTATTACTTTAATATTATATATATATATGTACTAGATGATCATATTCATTATTGTCTTCTTTATCCTCTTCTTGGTTATTTTTATTATTTTTCTTCGACAACTGGTTCATCAATGGGAATATCAATTTCTAATCCAGCCTTTTCAAGCATTCTTTTGACATCTTAATCTCCTCTAAGATTATCAATATCAATTGAAGATTTTTCAGGAACATAATCCAATCTTCTTTCTCTTTCCTCCTCTTGAATCTAAGTTTTTTTATATATATTATTACTTTAAGTGAGATACCCTTAACAGATCCAGTCTAAATTCTCTTTAAAAGATGTGTTGCGAATCCAGCTATTTTATTTCTCAATTTTTTTGATGGCACTTATCCCACTTCAGATAGGATTTTTTTATTGAAGTGAAAATCTGAAGTTAGTTTCATATAATATTTTTCGATGAGAACTTTGGCTGCTTTCTTAACTGTCTTATTTCTAACTCTTCCCATGATTTAATTTGAAAAAAATTTATATCTTTAATTTATGAAAATAAATCACATCAAAATAATAAATACAAGTAGATGTAGCTATAAAAATAAACAATTACAAAAATTAATATTTAAAATAGTTATGAATTGTAATGTCTATATGTAATTGTCTTCTAATAATAATTAATATATTTATATTTTATATAAAATATGGGCAATACTATTTAACACAAAATAAGAAATCCAGCAAATTGTTTGGGTTGTATGGGATAGGAAAATGAAGGATTTGATTTGAATGAACTTCAAATAGGACTAGATAATGACAAAGCTAGAGGTTTTACTTGATTTTATGTGATTTAGGAAGAATCACCTAACAATCAACTGCTTACTTGACTGAAAATGAGAAGAACTTTTTTAAAGCTGCATCAGGTAGAAATTTAGGTTTGATTCGTTTTTACCTTAATAATGGAATCAATATCAATATTTTAGATGAGGATCGTACTTCTCCATTGTATAAATATATTGATATAATCTTGATAGACATATAGCTTGTAGATATGGTTCAATATAAGTAGTAGAAGAACTAATTAATAACAATGCAAATTTAGATATCACAGATATGGCTGGCTGGACTCGTATATTATATATCAATTTAAGCATTACATGTTGCAGCATTTTATTAGAGAGCTTAAGTTTGCTAATTACTATTGAAATCAGGAGCTGATTTTAGAACAAGGAATCGTGATGGTAATGTGCCTTAAGATTTGGTGAGAGATAAGATGACAGCTGAAATATTTAAATAATCATAAGATCATCTACAACTCTTTAGTGAAAGATAAAACAAAAAATATGATCCAGCCTAAAGATAATATGAAGAGTATTTTCAATTACTTAAATTGAAAAGATAGTAATTCTAAATTATTATAGTTTAGAAAAAATAATGAATGTAATAGTTTTTGTGAAAAAGTATCTTAAAGTAAAATGATTAGTCCCAATTCAACTCCTAAAAAGTTGAAATTAATTGAAAAAGAAAATATTGGTTTCCAAGATGTTTTGTCTAAATCTAATATTTCTGAATAAGAGTGTAAAGAAATTATTGATTTTAACAAAGAAGTTGGATTCAAAATAAATAAAAATTTAATATCACCTTGTAATTCTATTCCTCGATTCTTTGATGAAATTGTATTTTATTATATTGATGATATAGATTTCACTTAATTAATTAGTATTATGGTAAAATGCATCTAGAGAGAGGGTTACATTTATTGATTAGGCTAAATTTATTACGCATGATTATAGTACTGAAAATTTGGCTATTGATTTATTTAATTATTCATGCTTAATGGGAATATCTTATATGATTTCTACTTAAATAATTAGACCAACTCCTTAATCAATAATCAATTGGTTATTTTAGAATATAGAATAAAAAAATAAATATTAAATATCTAAGTAATTCTTGATTAATATATCTAGATTATTAACTAAATTGAATTTATAAGAATAGTAAATGATTTTAAAATTATTTGTTGATAGAGTTGTTAATAATTAAAATTTAATTAATTCTTTACATAGTGTATTCAATAAATTATAAGTTTAAAATGATCCATATATACTTGATATTATAGTAAAGGAATTTAGTAGAAGATATTATGAATTGAATTTTAATTAAAAAAGTTAATCATTTCCATTTAAATCAGAAGATTCTTTACATATGTTCTGTTTTGCCATAGTAATTTTAGACATTGAAAGTAATAAATATGATAAAGAGAATGCTATTAAAAGTTTTTTTAAGAATATTCAAACTATAAATAATGGTGATAATTTAAATTCAAAATTTATTTCTGATATTATTGAATAATTATAATAAAAGTCAATTGTAAATTTAGTAGATGAATCTATAAATGAATCACTTAGTAGTAAATTAAGTACTTATAATAATCCTTTAAGTTTGATTAAATAAAAATAAGTAATTTAATTATATAATTTAGACTCATAATATAAATTGTAAATTATATTCTATAAGTGATGCATATTTACTAACGTCTGATGGATATTTAAAGATATTTGAGAAATCAAATAGTTAAATAAAAAAAATAAATAATGAAATACACATAAGAGGAAAATAGAATTAATAATTGTTGTATGTGATTTGTAAGGATGAACAAACATTTATCTTTAAATAGAAAAACATGAAATTTACATTAACCAATCTAAACGATACTTTTTGATTTATATTTATATGATGACAATTTTATTACATAAATTGATAAAGATAGAAAAGAAAAAAAAATATAATTTAATTTATATATTTAAAAAAACGAATATATATGATAGTTGTGTTATTAATAAGTGCCATATTTTGTGCAGAAATTAAGTTAAATATGAAATCATCACCTAAGGATATAAGAACAATAAATGGAAGAGCTGAATTTGATTGTAAGTGATAACAGTTGAATTAGTATTATAGCATAAGAATATGAAACATAATGTTAATGTGAGTCTACTACTACATAACTTCATGTTGGTGAAACATTCTGTGATCCTACAAAGGTTTAATTACATTAAGACTTTGCTGGTGATGATGGTAAAACTGCATCATTTGAATAAATCCGTCATCTTATAGGACCTCTTAATGAATTATAATTTGGAGATCCTAACAGCTATCATTTTTCATGTTTGGATGGAAGAAATGAATAAGGTGTATTGGGAACTCCAGGAGGTGATTCAGGTGAGTTCTTATTAGCTTTATAAGTATATGAATAAACAATCAATACTTCATTGACTTAGGATACTGTAGATAGCATTTTAAGCAATTATTTATAGTATATGAAATAAGATGGATTTTATATGTGTACAGATGATGATGCTATAAAACATTTAGAAAAAGAATTAGGAATGACAACGACAATAGATGCTTTAATTGATCCACCTAATTCAGTAATTATTAAATTTTATTCTAGTTTAAAGATGATCTCTTAAATTCACTTTTAAAATCAGAAAATACAGGATGCATGCATTTAAAGAGTATTTTAAAGAATCCTGAAAGTTATGACATAAGACCAGATTTAGTGAGATATTTTATAAGAAGTTATTTCACAATATTATGGAATAAGAGTAATCCATTACATCATAAATTGATACTTGAAGTGATGGCAGGTAGACATGAAGAGAGAGCATTTCTTGAAGTTAGAATCAATGAAGCTTGTATAAGATAGAATATGGCACCTCTATTAAGACCAAAAAGAAGAATTACTTTGCCAAGTGTTCCTTAAGGATCAACCACAACTACATTTCATGAAGGTGGTGCAACTGAAATATTTTAAGCATATGTTAATCATATTGATGCTGCATCAATTAGAAGAAAGGTATTATTGTTTTATATAATTATCATAGGAACTATCTAAATTCTTTGCTGAAAATTCTAATTTTAATGGTATTCATTTTGAAATTGATGTTATGCATCATAGATTAAATAAAAAAGGATTAATGTATCTAGAAATTACTGGACAAAAAATTGCAAGATATTTACCATTTTATACTGTTACAATTGTTTGATATATAAATAAAATTTATATTATTATTACTAATTTAATGTTATTACTTTAATCACTTGATATAAGATTAAATTCTTTATAATCTATTTATTATGAATTATTAAAATTAAGTTAAAGTTATTTTATAAATAAAAAATCTATTTTATAATTAATGCTATTTCATAGGATTCATAAAGATTTATTCATTATTTTATTTAACATCCATGAACATAATTCATTTATTTAATTTATGAATATATTATTTATGAATATATATTTTATTATAAAATGGACCATGCACGAATTCTAAATTTTCTAAACTCTTTATAAAATTAAGCTTGTATGATAAAGTAAGAGGGTAGAATTGATACTTAATAAACAGATAATGCATAATGTCCCAAAGAATCATTAAAGAGTTTATATGAAAAATTCACAAAAGATTATTCATTATAAAGAGCTAGAGTAAATTGGATGATGTTATATATTTAGACCTTAAGTAGAGAGGAAAGATTGGCAAATCATTTGACATCCAATTCTCTATCATATGGGGAAATAGTAAGTAAATATGTTTTAAAACAAAAGGAATTCACATCTTTATCTGTTGTCTTTCAATAAGTAAAACCAAAAAAAGGAGGAGTCTTTTATGATTTAGGCAGTGGTATTGGTAAGAGTGTGATTGCTGCATCATTAATGCATTAATTTGATATTTGTAAAGGAATTGAACTGTTACATTCTTTGCATGAATAAGCATGTAAATTAAAACAAGAAGTTGAAAAATAGAAAACTCTTATTGTAGATGAAATGGAATAAATTGGAATAAAAGAATATCAATAACCTAAAATTGAATTTATCAATGGAGATTTCCAAGAAGTATAATTTTCATTCACGAAATCAAGTTAGATTGGAGTGATGGTACCTTCTTGTTTGCTTCAACTACTTGTTTTGAACCAGATCTAATGAAGCAATTAAGTAAAAAGGCTATAGATTTAAAGGAGGGATCTTATTTTATAACTGTTACTAAAACACTAGAACCTTAGACTTGTTGGGATCTTATTAAATCTATTTAAGTTCAATTGTCTTGGGGATTAGCTACAATTCACATATAGCAAAAGAAAATGAATTAGATTTAACAATAATAAAAATAATTATGAAATAATCTCATTCTAAAAAGAATATAACTAACAGTCTTTATATTGCTAACAATTAACATACAGAACTAATAGATTATCTTAAATAAGAAAATAAACAATTAACTGAATAAATGAATGAATTAAAGGGATTACTATAATTAAATAAAAAGGCATTGAGAATAATGACACCTCAAAATAATGATGAATAAAATAGAGCTTTATTGATGGTTATGAAAAATTTATAAGAAGAAAATGCTAAATTGCATAATCAAATTGATAAACTAATTGAAGAAAGGAATCAAGCATAAAATTAAGTATTAATAAATTAATAAATCACTGAAGAAGCTTAACGACATGAAAAAGAATTAATTTTATCATTATAGAATAAAATATAAACATTATAAAATAATCTCAATAAAACAGAATAACAATTAAGTAAAATGGAATAACTCAAACCTGAATATGATGAAATATCAGGAATTGTAATTAAATACAAAGAAATATGTGAACCTGATAAAATTGCTATTAAATTTCATAATCAAATAGAAATGCTAACATATCAATTAGTAGAATAGATTAAGAAGAATAAAGTTATTGAAGCTGAAAAATAAAAACTACAAGGATTTAATTTAGTATTATATTTAGACTATTCATTTAGAAACTAATGAGTAATCTAGTTTAAATGAAGAATACAGCTATGACATATCATGGTAATAAACTCATTATTCAATAATAACAGATTTAATAAGGACCAGAATAATTAATTAAATGTAATTACAACATTATAATTATCTTAGTCTAAAATAATTTGTTAAATGTTATGAATAAATAAGAAGATGAAAATTCCTCTTAAGATGATAAAAATTCTTCAGTTGGTAGTTCACCTTTGATGTCACCTCTACCATTAAAATAGGAGAATTAAGTGGTGAAATAAATAAAGGACATTCCTAAATTAGATCTCACTAGAGCAAAATAAATATAAGAAATAAATGCTAAAAGATAGATATAATAAATGTAAGATATTAAAAAGTAAATTGATCCTAATTTTGTTGATAAATTAAATAAATATGAAAGAATTATAGAGGAATTGAGGAAGAACTATTAAAGAGAAATGTTATTAAATAAAACACTTGAGACAGCAAATAATTAATTATAAAGGAATTGTGATGATTTAGAAGTATTTTATTTATAATAATTCAGAATTAAATTTAAATATTAATAACTTCAAATATAAGACATCAAGAAAAATTATAGAAAATCAATAAACAATATTATTTTCTACAATAATTTTACATCAATAATAAAGATTAAATAACTACAACTCAAAGTCATAATAGAAGATTTTCGTAAAGTCCAACAGAATTATCTTAGGAAATGATCTTAGATACTTCTTTTATTGATGCAAATGGAGCTATAATTTCAAATGAAATATAAGAACAAAAATATTTATAACAACAAATGTTTGAATAACAATAATAGTAATAATAATTCTAATAACACTTTTACTCCTTTTATAGTCCTAATAATATTGAAGATTCTAAAAAGTTTCTATTGAGTTTAGCTGAATTAATTTATTGTGGATTATAGGATAAGATAGAATAATTATAATAATAATAGTAATAATATTAACAAGAAAAGAAGTAATAGAGATTCAGATCTGTAAGTGATATAATCGATTACTAACACATAGGATTTCATAAATATAATTATATTTAGCAATAATGATATATTTATTTCTCTTACAAATAATTATTATATATGATGACTTAATAATAAATCACTTAATCATTTCTTTCTATAAATTGTTATTTCTTATTATTTAAAATATCTCCTATCATCTTCATCTACTAATATCAAATTCAATATATATTTGACACTGAATTTACCACTAACATTTTTAACAGATGGTGTCACATCTACTCCACTTAAATATAATCTAATTGGAATCACTTCTCCTTTCTAGGGACATCCATCCATTAATTCATATTTGACTAATGTCTCATTATCTGTTTATTATTGAGGTCCTTATCCATATTATTCCTTTCTGATTACTGCCAATTCCATATATTTAATTTTGATTTTGACCAAATAAAAATTCACTTTTCCAGTCACTACATCTCTCAAATGATATCTACTCTTGAAATATTCAAAATCAATATGTAAACATTCTTCAATACCAACCTATATTAAATTTATTTGTATATATACTTCCAACTTTAATGAAGTTTATGGTTAATCCTCTAATTCTGGTTATGGAATTAAAACAGCAAAGTCTACTTCTTTCTATACTTTGCCATAACTTCTAGTCATATAAACTTTCAAATAGTATCTTAATCTAACTGTGTTTCCATAATAACTTTCGTATTGCTTCTCAAACTTCTAAAATTAAAATTTATATGTTTTGTCCTCAAATAAAAAACCTTATGGTTCTAATTCTCTTGACATTGACATGAAATCTGAACTTTATTTTTGATCATTGAGAATTTCTTTTATTAATATATAATACTTACCTATACGTCCAATCAACTCTACACGAATTCCTAAATGTTCTATTTTTTTTTATTTGTTCATCTTTACTTCTATCACTCCTGATATATCATCATCTCCCTAATTAATAAAATTTATTCAATATCAAATACAGAATAGACTGGTAACCTCAAAGCCCCCAATTATTTATCCTAAAATCTTGTGTGCTTGCGTGTCTCTACACCATCTAATGTCACTTCAATTAGAGGTTGCCCTTAAACCATATTCAAAAGAGAAGCCTATAATATGTGGAATTGAAATCCTTACCATTATATGCTAATTATTAAATTATATAAATTATTAATCTATAATCACTAATTCTAATCATTATTGAGTATCTTTGAAATACATCATCTAATTTTATATAATTGTAATTATATTAATTATCATATTGTTTGTTATCTAGATCTTATACTCTTTTGATATTACTTCTATAAAATAATTGAACATATATGTCTTTATTAATTCAAACATTCAACATCATTTGATCTTATATTGAATCAAAATACATCTGATGTTCTCTGTATAATAGGTTCATGAAGACTATTAACAAATATTTATCTTATTTTCGACATTATTATATGAAGCAAGCATGTGATAAAGATGCTTATAAACTCAATAATTTTTATTTGAATTACTTAATATATTGAAAATTCTGTTTTTATGATAATCTCAAATTTGAAGTTCAAATAAGTTTTTTAAGTGAATAAGATTCATAAAAGATTAAACACTATTTTCATTTAATTAATTTAAATCATTATAATATTTATAATCACTCAATAAGTTAATATGAAATGAATCCTCAGGCATAGAATATAATTTAATTTCAGATTTTGAGAATTTGTTAACATGTATAATTTTATTTAAATATTAATTTTATTTTTTAATCAGAATAATTAATAATAAACAATCATGTATTGCTGTTGTTGTTAAAATATAATTTAACTTTTAGATAATATTTGATTATAAAATATGATTTAAATGTTCAAATGATTTATCAAGATTGAAGAGGATTTTACATGAAATTATAATATATCAGTCCCTCATTTATTTAAAAAATAATTATTAGAATTTTATTAACTGAATTAAATTTTAGCTTAAATCTAAAATTCACATCAAACACTCTAAATTTATTATTAATGTTGAATAAATCAATCAATAAATTATCTTTAATATATTTAGATTTAAATAGATGATAATTAAGATTTTTATTTAACCTTACTATAAATGTATAAGTATAAGATTTTAATATCAATTTAATATTCATTATTAATTTAATATACAATTTATAATAATATATTCTATTTGTTTTTACTAGAAGTATATTAATTTCATTGTAAATTCTAATAAAAGTGGAATTTTTATATAGAATTTGAATGATGAAATGACAGATAGACTTGAAATTTTGATTTTAAAACACCTAAATTTAGATTTATTTAGTAAAAAAATATTTTAAAAATATAATGAATAAATAACATATTCCAGCAAAAGCATAAGAAAAAATATTTGGTTTAATACTGAAACGACCAGATAATTTAGTGTGTGCTGATTGTGCTACAAAAGGTCCTAGATGGGTTAGTTTGGATTATGGTATATTTATTTGTATGGATTGTGCAGGTAAATTAGTAATTTTTATTATGATAGGTGCTCATAGAACTTTGGGTCCAAGTGTTACACGAGTAAGATCAACAAATATAGATGGATGGTATTAGGAAAATATTGATATTATGGAATCTATTGGAAATGCAACAGCAAATTCATATTGGGAAAATACAATGCCTAAGGATTATGTGTAATATTTTGTGTCTAATATATAATATAGCAAACCAACAATTAATACAGGATTAGATTCTTTAATTCGATTTGTTTAAGAGAAATATATCAAGAAGAGATTTATACCTTAATAATAATGTCTTGATCCAAAATAATAATATATGTTAACCAAAACGTATATAAAATTTAATAACAATTTAGTACTGTTAAACCTTTCTATTTTAGAATAGAAACTAAATAAGAATAACCAAAAGTTAAATTAGGTGATTTGATTGATTTAAATGAGTAATTTGACAATTTTTGTGTTAAAGACACTAAAATAGAAATAGTGCATGGAAGTAATACTTAGTATGGAACAACTCATTCTTTATCACCAGAAAAAGATAATACAGATTTTAATTAGACTAAATAATAAGTAAATCATGTAATGCATTCATTGCCATAACTTGATATATTGAATCTATATAAACCAGATTAATAATAGAAATAATAAATGCAATCATAATAAACTATTCCTTAAAAGAATGCTAATTATGCTTACTTACAGAATTTAGGATAGCAATAATAATAATATAATTATCAATAATACTAAAATAATAATACAAATTTCAATTAATAATAATAATAATTTTAATAAAATCTATTTCTATAGTAATAGACTAATCAAATTTAATAATAATAATAATAATATAAATAAAATGGACCCATTAACATTATGGAATTATATCAAAGATGAATTTATACAAAAAACACAATTAATTAAAATAATCAATATTTTTACTTTAAATTTAACATCTAATTCATAATTCTTCTATTTTTCATATAGGTATTTTATAACAAATATTCACTAATTCTAATATACTTTTACAATTTCTAAAATATTCCATTACAAATTTAATAATCTTTTTATTTACATCTATATACTATTATTATATTCATAAAATGTGAATTATTGTCTCTTATATCTTCAAAAGATATTTAGTTTTTGTTTGACTTCATTAATAATAAGATAATCATTATGTTCTTTACAATTGATATATTTAAAATGATAAGAATACATTTAAATAAAGTAGTGTTTTCACTTTGGAATTGATAATTTAATAGTTATTACACAAAATTTATAAAATCTAGTTTTTATGAGTTTTGAACCATATTAAGAAACAAAGAAGAATATTAAAGTTGCACCAATAAAAATAGTGTAAAATAAAAATGAGATGAATGTCTCTTAAAATCAGATTTCAACATATCCTTAACTTAATTTAGAATTCCCATTTCATAATAGATGTACTAATTATAAATAATTCGCTCCTGCTGTAACAATTCCTTTAAGCTTTTTGCAATAACTCATTTAATAAGCATAATCAAATAAGATATTGAATCAATTGATAGAACCTAAAATACCATTTGTAAAATAAGAATAATCATAAGCTGTTAATAACCTCATTACATAAATATAATATTAAAAATTAGAAAATATTAAACAACAAGATGGTAATGTATATGTTTATATTTAGAAGATACATAAATTAAAATGTATTTGATAAAAAGTTAAATGAAATTTATAATTGAAGATTTTGTATCCAAAGAAAGAGTGCAACTTTATTTTGCTGAGAATGAAAATTTATTACCTCATTTCTTAAAATGGATTAAATCTATTGAATTAAAAGGTTTAGAAGAAATGTTAATATTATGTTACACAAATCCCTCAAATACTAAGAAGATTTAAGATATTTTTAAATAATTATTTCAAACATTATCAATTGAGTATTACTAAAACCATGCTTATGCTTAAATACTGAGATCGAATCTCTAAGATAAAATTAGATATTTATCAGCAATAGGAGATATCTTAAATAAAATTATAAAACCTTAGGATTATTTCTATTTTAATAATGCATGATAGATAAGAAATTTTGTTATCATATTAAAAATATCAAATACAAATACAAATCTTCAAATTATCATTTCTTTTATTATTCCTCTTCCTCTTCCTCACTAATTTGAATTTAAAAATTTGATATTTAATATTCATCAGTACTTCCTCTCTTTATATATCTATAATATTACATAATCATTATTTATTTGTTAATTTAAAGCAATAATAACATCTCTCAATTAGTTCTGATTGAATCTTTATTAATCTTCACTAATTCATATTTAATCATAAAATTGGTCCTACTTTGAAAAGTCTTGTCTTCACTTATCAACCTATTTGCTTATAATTATTTTCTATCAATCCAGATTCTTTTTTAATCATATCAACTACGACCTATACCTAAACCAGGTTATTTTGGTTCTTGTTTAAATTGAGAATTGAGTGTGTGATTCTATTTCTTAGTAATAATTGGTATCAATAAAGCAAACTTACTTTTTGTTAATTTTAGATGGAGAATATTTTAAATATTGGATGAACATTAAATATAAAGGATCTTTTACTTTCTAATATATCTGGAGACACTTACTTTAAATAATTTTACAGCATTACAATAACTTATAGATATCTTGAAAACATTATTAAAATCATAAGTTTCTTAGTGCATTATCTCAGAGTTTAATAGAGATATCAAAATATATAAAATATAGATATCTAAGTTCTTTAATTAACTCTACAATTTCATAGATGATCTTGTAAATAAGTCAACTATACTTTTATAAATATTTATTATAAACTAAAAGGAAGGTATTTAAGTCAACATAGTTTTAACATCCATAATTTCACATAAAAATTGTATAGTTTTTAAACAAATACAGGTTTTTAAGTAAAATACATTTTAAAACTTTCAAAACTAAAACATTGATCTAATCCCTTTAATAAAAAATCTTAATATCCTGGTTTTTATTAAGTAATTTTAGAAAACCATTTGATTGCATAATCATAATCAGTTCATGAGAATCTAATTTTTCTTTAATTTCTTTATCTCTTGATCCACATCTCCTCATAGATATAACAATAATTAATTTATAATATATTTTCTACTAATTGTAAATCAATTAAGTAATTGGAGTAATCATCATTAAAATTAATAGAGAGTACTCTACGCCAATGATGAACATCCATCATCTTCCTATTCTGGAATTGCTATAATATAATATATAATGAGATTTTATTACCATTCATGTATGAATCAATTGGATTTTATTTAGCTTCTTATGAGGCTTATTTGATTTCCATTTGGATTGAAGCAAAAGCTTTTTATAAATCATTCTTTTTAGAAGTCATACTAAAATCAGTATAACATAAAGGTTGTTTATTTTCTACGGATTTAGTTAATTACTGATCAAAAACATGATATTAATTTTATTCTTATTTACAGGATTAAGTAATTGATTATTATTAATGTGTTTAATATTATCCTGGAAGTGCTTTTAATTTTTCCCTGGAAACTAACCTTCTTTTCTTGCTATAATTTAATAATTACATTTAAAGAAGATTCACGTTATGGTAATTCAATTACATCAGTCCAATTAAATTATTTAGTATTTGTTCCTGCACTTGATACTTTTTATTTACTATTATTTCTTTATTAATTATCTCCTGTCATTGTAGGTCTCCCAGAACTTCCAATTTATTCATGTCTTGCAATAATGATCTTTTTATCAATATGTATTGGAGGTTTTGTTTATTTTTAAGGACTTTTCTATATAAGTAAATCTAAAATAGTAGTTACAATATGAATCAATTATTATTAATTCTATGTGAGACTTAGCGATGCCTTAGAAGAATGTTAACTATTTTGACTAGATTTAATTAATTTTTGTTAAGGAATTTATTGCTCAATATTATTAGCATTAACAATTAATCTTTATTTTTGACTTCCTGAAAAGAGAGGCTTTCTTGGAGGTAAAGGTGACTTAACAGTTGTCATAGGTTATCCTGATCCAGGTCTTTTTCTCTCTACTTCTTCAAATGCTTATTTAAATATATCAGCATCAGATTTCATTCTACCATTAGAAAATTGCCTTTTCACTATTGACATTATTAAATATATTAATATTTAAAATTATTAACAACTGAAGTATCTCTATTTTTTGTTTATAAATTAAATAAACTTATACAATTAACATATATTATGAATATCTTCTATAGATTATATATTGATCAAAGATTTTTGAGTTTTATAACTTTTTAAACTTATTATTTAAATAAATTTATAATCAAATCACACTATGATTTATTTAATGAAATTAATAAAACTGATCACACACATTGGTATGATTGCCAAATATTGTATTTATTTATTATGATCTTTACTTATTTCATTCAAAATTTATGTATATTAATATAAACAGAAAATACATGTAGTTAAAATTATGCATGGCCAGATCACATTCATAGTATAGTCGGTTATTAGTATAATAATGTGGTAAAAAAATGTAAAAATTAGTAAGGATGTTACCCAAAACCAATTAAAATTAAATTGCAATTGAATTAGTGTAGCTATCTCTGTGTATATAATAGCAATGTAATATAGAATAATTACAGCTACCCATTTCTTAGATCCTTAATTATCATCACATAATCCAGGTATAATGAAAATCAAAAATGATAACAGTAAGATTTCCCATGTAAACAATGGAAATGCTATTAGAATGGAATTCTAATTAATAATTTAATCCAACTGCAAACAAAGAAGCAGAATAAAAACAGGTAAAAGTCCAAAAGTGGAATGTTAGGCTATTCCTAAGAACACTTTAGCTATTCTTGGATATTGCTATTAAACTATTAAAATAAATATTCAGTACATAACCATATACTAGTTAAGATCCATATGATAATATCACAAATAATGAATACTATTGCAATATAAATCCATTATATCTAATACTCTATCCTTAGAGCCAATATTTGAAATATTAAGTATATCGAAAATGCTATCGATATGCGAATACACTTAAATTACATCTCGTCTGATCTTTTAACGATTTCAGACTCTGAACCTTGAAATTCATCTCTATAATTATCATCCATTATTCGTTTTTTTAATATTATATATTATTATTTATGATTATGTTTTCAATCTAAACTATTCATTATGACTAATTTCTATATGTTTTTATATTATATCAATTTTAAGAATTTAAAAAATCTAATCGCTATGACAAAATCACTCTTCATACTATTTTTTTAATTAAATACAAATATAAGCAAAAAACTGAAATTATAAAAAACTCAAAAGTTACCAATTTTTATTTAAACTTACAAAATAAAACTCAAATTCTTTCCATTTAGACTTTAATCATCAAAATTTAATAAGATTTTAATTAAAAATAGAAATTGATGTATTCATAGAAATGTCCAATTTTATTATTTTTAAATAACTTTTAATAATAATATGCAATAAACAATAAAATAAATAACAAATCATTTCACTTTATCTTTCCCAAATCAACATCTCTCTTACACACAGGACAATGTTTTTCTCTAGATAACCATTCAGAAATGCATTCCTTATGAAACACATGTCCACATTCTAATTGAATTTCAACAGGATTTCCACTTTCTTCTAAACATATTGTACAACTATAATATTAGACCCTAATTGCTATACCAATCAACTGTTTTATTTTTTATAGTGCATTATTTAAGTAGTATTTATATTTAATGTTCCATCAATCCTCTACTTACAAAACCCATTTTATCTTAAAGTTCTTGTAATTATTCATAACTCATTTCATCTAAATCAACATTATTTTGCATTCTATATTTTATATTATTGTATTTTTTACTATATTAAACGATTTTAAAATTCCATTTCTTCTTGTTCTTAAAGCATTAACGCAAAATGAAGAGATTTCTCTTCTTCATTCATTTCTTATAATGGTTTTTCAACTGAAATTATTTCTTGATTTTCTTCCTCAATTTAGAGATTTTACTTTCCTTTTAATTGTTATTCTAAGTCTTAAATCCTATCCTTTAATTCAGTAATAGTATTTTTCAACTCATAATTCTCTTGGCGCAATTCATTTATTAAATCAGATTTTGATTAGTATTTTTATTAAGATCTTTAAACATGTTAGGTAGGCATCTTGAATAATTTATCAAAGACTTCCTTCTATTCTGTAACAGATTTTAATTAGCTAACCTTTATTGGGCAATCCATTTCTAAGATGTTTTAACAATAAATTTATTAATAATTTAATCAAATACAAATTTAAAGTTTTGAATTGTATGAATTTAATATTTAATTTAATCAATTATTAAGAATAAAATACATCACCTTAGAATAAGTTAATTAAAAACAATTTAAAAGTTCATTAAACATATAAAAAATGAATATAAATAATTATACTATATTTTTATAATATTTTTAATATAGAATAATAATTATTATTATTATAATTATTATTAAAACATATTGAAATAAATAAATCTAAAATCCAAAAAATATATATATATCCTTCAAATTTTTAATAAATTTAATTTAATTATTTTATTGAAATAGAAAAGAAAACTTCATATAATCATCCTGCTTATTTAGTTGAATTTAACTATTTTATTAAAATAAATTTATATTACTCTAATTTGGTTTAATTAAAATCTTATATTTTAATTATTTCAAATCGTTATAATTTATTGATTCATTTCTTTGTTTTTGTTGACTATCAAATATGTATACTACATATGATGTTTTATCTTTATAGTTGGCTTAAGAATTAATAACTAATATTTCTGATATAAAATACTAAGAAAACCTTGTTTAATTTAAATACTTTTAGTATTATTATACTTATTTAAAGTATTCTAATAATTATTTAATTTAAATCATTCTTTATGTTATTTACTTTTGTAAAAATTCTATTGTTTAAGTTTCTTGACATATAAAAATCAATTTTTATTCATTTATGAAAATATTTTGGAATGTGATGACCTATTTAACCCATTTAAATAAATGAATATTTAAAAATATCAATATATGATATCTTATTGTCTATAAATATAGATAATTAAAAAAGAGTATAATCTTTGTATTAAGTAGAATTCTTAAATAGTTAATGAATCTTTGCCTCTAGTCTTATTATTACTATATGCATTTCTATTATCTTTGCTGTTTATTATATAATGAAAATGAAGTTAATACATAATTATAATTAAATTCACTATTCTTATTTAAGAATTAATGCAACAATATATAGAAAATTAATTAACTTTTATACATATAATGAATATACAGGAACGTCCAAATTTATTTATCTTGTATCCCTATCCATTCAATAGAGATGCAAAGTTTAAGTATGTAGAAATAAATTATTCGCCTTCATTTAGTGAGTATAGAATTCACTCAATTTTATAAGAACCATGAAATGTATGATGGAAACTATACCAATATTCAATAATGACATGGATCCTGCTCAACCGGGATTTATACCACTTATAGATTAAGTATTAATTATATTGATTTAGCCTCTTCATCTTTAACATAATGATCAATATCAAAATTAATACTAAAAAAAGTATTAGGAATTGACTTAAAAAAATAAAGTGCTTGTAAGTATTTTTAATGATATCAGCACTTTCCCAAACCTAAAAGCCAGTCAAAATATTGTAATGTTTGTAAACAACATTATGAAGATTATTTAGATGTATTACTTTACTTAAATTAGCATATTAAATCTAAAACACACAAGTCATAATTTACAAAAAATCAATATATAAAGAAAATCCAGACATTAGCTAAAGAAGTTTAAGAAAAAGTAGTATCTACAATTGAATAGTAAGAATCTACTGAAGTTTAACCTAAGAAAATGAAAAAAACTAAACTAAATTGATTATTTATAATTATTATTACTCATTTCATTTAATTTTCTTATTTAAAACATTTCTGGAACCTTCACGTTAAGTCTTTATGTTCATATAGAGATATAAATCTATTATATATATTATTACAATTCTATTCACTTGAAATATTTATATTTTTGTAATAAAATATTCTTTTTAAATTCTTAAATATAAAGTTTATTGATATTTTTGTAAAATCTAAAAAAGAGAACTGCATTTTTAATTATTTATTTCTTAATGTTAAAATTTCTTGAAAATAGAGATAATCATAGGATCAAAAGAGGACAGGATTATATGCGTTTTGAGAGTAACAGTCATCTACCTAATAATAAATAATTTAATAGTCCTCTTCATTAAGATATCCTTATACATCATGATAAGCCATAATATTACATAACAAAAAAATTGCCTCCTATTTCTATTTATAATCCCTTAGTTTAATTAACAGATTAAGTAGATAGACCAGAATATATAGTGAAATAAAAAGAAATTTATCACTCTCGTTATATGGAAGAATATTAATAAAAGGGCTTCAAAAAAAAGTAAGGAATTTTTGAATCATTCCAACATCTACTGAATTAAAATCATATTTTGATTTAAGGAGTTCATCCTGATAAGAAACCATTGTCTATTTCAGCTTTAAAGGAATATAGATAAAGGAATTATAGATCTTTAAATTAAGATAGATAACTTTCTTCCAGGAGTTAAGATAGTTCTAAAGTGTAGAAAAGTAATTTAGATAGTAGCAGATCACATGTAAACAGCTATAATAAAAATTATGATTATAATGTATCAGAATAAAGTAAATTAAGGACTGAGAATAAGAACATTCAAGTCAGTTTAGAAAGAATGAGTGTTTCTAAGAAAACAGAATAATCAAATGAGTTTAGACCAAAAATATTACACTCTTATTTGATTAGACAAGAAGAAGAAGCAGAAAAAGAGAGATAGATGCATCAATTAAGCATATTTGATAAAAAGATCAAAGAAATTAGAATTTATTAGGATAAATATGGGAAAAGGAAAATGACTATTGAACAGAAATCTGATTGATTAGATAATATTAATAATAACTCTACTTTGATTATAATTTAATTAATATATTTATTCTTAATTTGCATAAATGAATGTAATATAGCCACCATAATAACAAATTTAAATAAACCAATAGTAATAAATACCTTAATATCCAAATTATCCACCTCCTGAAAATTAAGTTAGATATGATCCTAGAACTGCAGCAACATTTTTAAATCCTAAATCAATTTAGAAAAAAGCTAAATTTTGTCCAATTTGTGATTTTCCTGCAAGTGTGAGAGTTGTTATTAATCCTTGTAAACATTTTATGTGTTATGAATGCTATTATATTGATGGTTAAACATTTTGTAAATTTTGTAATGATATTGTTGGATCAGTTAAAAGATTAGATGATACAGAGAAATTCTATTCTTGTGATCTTGATACATGTTTTAAGTAGAATTATATTCATTAATTCAAGGTATTTTGAATCTGAATAATAATTGGATGAACATAACACTTAACATTCTATAATATTAGGTTGATTTTATATATTATATAATAATATATATTATTTTTATAATATTATACTAATATTAGAATAGATCTATTTAAAAATAATATTAATTTATTATTGATTTATCATTTAAACTCCAAAATAATCTTTCCTTATCCACGAGTCTATGATTAGAGTTTATATAATTCTTCACCTGAAATATCTTATGGTTTAACAATCTGATATACATCTGATTTAAATATTGTGTCTAATTTAGAATTAATATAATTAAAGGCAACCTCCTTTTATTATCTTGTTAATGAAGTATAATAATTGTGCATCCAAAATCCTTCAATAGATTTACCTTAAAAGATCAACTAATTAGGATTTACTTTTCCTATAAATGTAGCTGTTGATGATCCATAATTCACTAAAACACTATTTGCTGGCAATGATGTTAAGATAGTTCCAGCCTTATCTCCAGATGTTGAATCAAAAAATACTGTCTTATCTTTAATGTTCTTTTGAATATTTTATAGTAGATTCTCATCATCTACTAATGTATTAACATAATCCTTATTCTCTTTTGCAATTGCCCAAACATCTTTTCCTAATTCTTTAAATAGTTTAATTCCTTGAATTGCAGTGGATGATCGAGCAGATGAAAATAAGATACTTTTAAATTATTTAGCTCTCTCTTAAAATCCAAGAACAGTGAATGGATTAATTATGGCCATACTACCTTATATTTCATTTCCCACTTCAAAAATATCTGATTCATTTGCAGCAACATACTCTGCCCAACTTCCAACTGATCTAGCAGGTAGAAATGCTACTAATTTGCCTTTATGCTTTCCTTCAACAACTTCACCTACTCCTTCCATTCCTAATTGAGTTGGAAGAGCCTTCTTGATTCCATAGATGCCTAAAGAATAATACATATCTGCTGGATTTACAGGGGCATATCTCACTTTAATCAGAACTTAGTGTGATAATAGTGAGGGTTTAAGAACTTATTACCAAAGTGGTTTAGTACCATATTTAGATATGACGAATGCTTTCATTTAATTAATTAATTATTTTTTATTATATTACGGAGTATTTATCAATATTATTATTATAAAAATTTTATAATAATCTACAGCTTTAAATAAAGAATTATGAAACAGTCCATATTTTAGTTCTTGATTAAAATCACTAAAGTACAATTAATTAACATCACAATATAATCATAAATTATGAATTGACTTTTGCATATTTTATGAATTATTTTTTATTTCTGATTGAATGATTTTTATTAATGTTTTATTATATCTAATATATGGTCTATCTATATTCTAAATCTGTCGATTACTAAATTAAGGTGCATATTTTTATTCATATGAATTAGTTTAACATCTATAAACTTTATTTATAGGTAAATTTGGAATTAGTGTTGAATTTCTATAATTTCCTGTTAAAGAAGAAGATTAAGGTGTAGTTACTTATATTGTATATGCCTTTTTTCTTTATACAAATTCTTTAACTTCAGATGGTTTTCTTAATAAAAAAATGGTCATCTTTTTATCTAATTATTTAAATTGTTTCTCTTTTTATGATTCTAATTTTTATTTAGGTTATTATTATTTAATTATTATTTATTTTGGTGGTGTCTTACAAGATGGAGGCCTTTCCAAATTATCATATTCTATAATTATAATAAAATTTAATCATACCAACCAAAGATTCTTATTTAGATAATTATCTTAAGAGACTTTATCTTTTAGTTGTTCTTTTTCTTTTTTTTCTCTCTAAAATATCAGCAAAACTTGTTAATGCAAATCTTGATCCATTAATTTATTTATGTTATTCAATTTATGTTGGAATATTCTCCAATTATTTTAATGTCATTTCACCAAAACATTCACCATATGCTGATTTTCTTCTACTCTATTATTCTTATCTTAATTGATTTATTTTCTCTATAGCCTTTTTTAAAGGTTTTAAATTTATAAACTTTTTAGTTTACATTTACTTATCTATTATTTATGGTATAATTTCATCTTATTCACGTTCTTCACGCTCTTTTAATAATCTTATGAAATGTGAGAGTGAACTCTTTTTTGTTGTTTTTCTAAAATCATCTTAGATTATTAATTAAGATTTTGATTATGGATTACTACTAATTAAAACTTTATTGCTTATTCTTCTTTCAGTAAATGGGAATGAAGAATACTCACTTTGTTCTAATTACAGATATATAATTACATAAGTAGTTTATCATTTATTTTATAAATTAACAAATAAACTTTATTAATTACTAATATATAAATATAAGTTTTTATTATAAGAATTATTACTATTTAAAGTAATAAACCTATATTTAAATATAGAGATAATTCAAACAATTATTGAACCTTTATTGAATATTATTTTTAAATATTATAATTTCTTAATTTTAATCTTGAAAATTGTTTGTAAATATTAACAATAAGGATTTTAAGGCAGACTAATAAATAAAATATCAATTAATATTTAATACTTTCTAATTCCAAATGCGAATTTTGTGCAAATTATTAAAAGGATGTTAAATTAATTGAATTATTTTGAATATAATAATAATTGATAATACTTTATAAATTAGAAACTAAGAAATCTATTACAATAATAATTAATATAATTTAATATAATTTCTTTACAATAAATGAGATATATTCAATTTTGTGAATATTAATTATAAAAAGCAAAATATTATGCTTAATTTTGCTATCATAATTTAATCAATTAATATATGAGTTATCCTAATATTTAAGAGTTTTTGGAAGATTTTGAAAAGGAGAATGAATTATTAGGAAAAGGAACGTATGGTGAAGTTTATAAAATGAAAACGAAAAGAATCATCAATCCTGATTTAGAAAAGGTATAAGAAGGATAAGAGAATTATAATGGATAGTATTATGCAGTTAAAATGATGGATGCTAAAACAGAAAAATCATTTTCAACCATATAAAAAGAATTTCTAATACTTAAAAGTTTACCAAAATAGCATCCTAATATAATTAGACTTTACAAAGTAATTATTTAATAATATAAATAGAGTTATGCATGGGCCAATTAGATCACTAAAACTTATACATTAGTATTAGTAATGGAATTAGCTGATAAAAGTTTAATGAAGGAAATTGAAGAGAGAATATAAAATAAGAAATATTTTTCAGATGATTAATTACATCATTTCTTCTTATAATGTATTTAAACATTAAATGATATAAAACTTCATTCCAATATTTATCATAGGTATTTCATTAATTAAATATAGAGATATAAAGCCAGAAAACATTCTTTTAAATAAAGAATAACAAATACTAATATCTGATTTTGGAGTTTCTCGAAAATTAATGAAGGAAAAGCTACCAACAATTAATGGTACCTTAGTTGGAACTCCTGCTTATTTATCTCCAATATTATGGAAGGCTTTTGAAGAAGGGTAATTTTAGGTTTCAAAAATTAATAAAATAACTCATAATGTAGAAAAATCTGATGTTTATTCGTTGGGTGTAACATTATTATAGACAACTCTGTTATTAAATTCAGAGATTTAAAAACTAAATTCTGTAAATTTACATAATTGATTCAGGGAGAACAAGGATAGCATACAACAAGAGAATTATTGAAAAATGTCTAAAATCCTAGAATTAAGTTTATCTTAATGAGAATGCTAGAACATGATGAAAAATAAAGAGCTTCTTATAATGAGTTACTTTAATTATTAAATGAAAATATACCTAAGCAGATTGTTTAGAATAAGAAACCTATATTTTCATATGTAGAACCTAAATTAGGAATTAAGGAATAATTTAGTTTATAGGCAAAAATAACATTCGAAAATAATTGTAAATAAGATTTGCATTAAAACTAATAAAGTCCATAATAAATAGATACATAAATAGATATTGAAACTGTTAATTAGAGTTAAATGAATCAATAGATAGAAAATAAAATGAAAGAATAATGAAAATCATTGCATATCTATTTAAATAAAAATTAATATAACTACATAATCTCAAAAGTTAATACTAACATTATTGAGAATTATACTTAATATTCTATAGAGACTTTAAAAATTTTAATTATTTTGAAAATGAATACTATCAATGTGGATATTATTCAATATTAATCAATTAGTTTTATTGTATAAATAAGAAAATTATGATGTCATACTTAATAGTGATATTAGCTATTCTATAGACATTTGCTGTTAATCCTTTGGAGGATAAGACAGTGTTTCCAGACTGGGGAAATTATAGCTTCAATACTTATTCTGGATATATTCCAATTGGCTCAGGATAAAGGTAAATGTCTAATAACATTTTAGATAATTACATTATGTATTTTTGGAAAGTTAGAGTGATCCATTAACAGATCCAGTTGTATTATGGTTAAATGGTGGTCCAGGATGTTCATCATTACTTGGATTAAATGAAGAAATTGGTCCATTTGTAATGGTTGATGATGATAGAGTATTTAAGAAGAATCCTTATTCTTGGAATACCATAGCAAATATACTTTTTATAGAATCACCAGCAGGTGTAGGATTTTCTATTAATAATGATTCATCTTATATTTACAATGATACTAATACAGGAGAAGATAATTATTAAGCAATTTTGAGTTGGTTTTAAGCTTTTAAATAATTTTAAGGAAGAGCATTTTATATTGCAGGAGAATCATATGCTGGTATTTATTTATTTGTAAATCGATAGGAATGTATATACCATATACATCTAAAGCTATTTTAGAAGGTAATAAAGTTAGTTCCTTAAAAATATCTTTAAGAGGAATTATGATTGGAAATGGATTATTAGTATCTGATCCTAAGAAACGTTTCTATGCATTACAAGAGTATTTCTTAAGAAGAAATTTCTTGCCCCCAACAACAATTAATACTATAAGAAAGATTTGTTAAGTGGCTCCTTAATCTATAAAGTGTTTATTGGCTCAAAATCATTTTGAAGAGGTATGTTTAGGATCAAATATTAATATTTATAATGTTTATGGATATTGTAAAGAAGATACTACTCCAGATTTTCTAAAATCTAAATATCAAACACAAAAAAAGGTTAAGTATCCTTATGTTTCATGGTTTGAAGGAAATAGAGTAGAAAATAAAGTTAAGGATAATGGTGCTCCTTGTACTGATTTTGGACCTATTACTGAGTATTATAATAGAAAAGATGTGCAAGAAGCATTACATATTCAAGATTAACCAGTACTTTGGAATGCTTGTAATCTTTAAATTAATGAAAATTATCATATAAGTGAAGAAGGTAGTTATAAAATATTAGCATAATTAAGAGATGATTATGGATAATAAATATTAATATATTCTGGTGATTTAGATGCAATAGTAAGTGTTGTAGACACAGAATAAGCTATACTTATGATTCCAAATATTAGAGAAACTACTCCTTGGAGACCTTGGGGAAATAAAGATTTAGATCTTGCTGGATGGGTTACTTATTATGATAAGTTGACCTTTGCAGTTGTTAGAGGTGCAGGACATGTAAATACTTATTAATTATTTAGATGGTACCATAAGATTAGAGATAGAATAGTTTTGAATTATTTTAGAACTTCATTTATAATTTAATATTGCCTGAGCATTTCGAACAGTTAAGAACAGATTGATTATTATAAATAATTTGAATGATTAATTTCTAAATTCTATTAAAAATAATTGATTATTATAAATTAGAATGAAAAAATTCTAAATTCTATTAAATTCTTTACTTTCATGGGGTTAGGGTCTTTCTCAATGACTAAGGCTCTGATCCTTAATTCTTAACCACTAATTGACTTCGTGTCTTCTTATTATCTTTACTATTCAAAAGGTATTGTTATTCCTTCTCTTTTTCTATTTATATATATATATAATACGATATTCTTCAGCATCCATATAGCCTTCTGAGTTTCTAGTTGGGGATGAATAGGCATTCCCTTCTTTAGATTCTTTCTTGGGGCTTAAATGAACTCTAAATATATATTTGTTATACAAAGCATATAATTTTTATTGTGGATTCTCAGTTCCTATTTATGTAACATCATCAGCAAGTATAAATTATCCTTTAAATTTAACTTCATTATTCATACAGATGTTTGAATGTTTTAATATTATTAATGATAATAAGAAAAATTACAATTTTCAATCCAAATTTCAATTCCACTGTTAAATATTCAATATTTATATAAAAAAGCTATAATAAATTAAAGTAAATTAAAAATAGATACTTGTGAAAAAAGGAATTGTGAGATTTCCTTTATAATCATAAAACATATGTTATTTAACTTTACTACTATACAACAACTTGCTTATTATATATATCTATAGTTAAACTATAATAAATAAATTTTATGATTCAATCAAAGTTTTACTTAAGATAGTTAAGTCATTTTTCATGAAGATTGTAACGTTACAGATTAGCAAAAGAATAACTATTTTAAAAAAGTAAATTATAAATAAAATTTAGATACTTTTACTCCGCCATTTATTAATAAAAAAATAATAAATTTTTATTACCAAACGATATAATTAAATCAATATAATATTCATTCAAGCTTTATAAAAACTTACTCTAAAAAATACTATTTATATATAATAATAGTGATATTTTTTATTTGATTTTATATTGATAGAATAAAAACAAATAAATTTAATAAATAATTTTTTATTTAAAAAATTTGAAAACCTAATTAGATTTTATATAGGTATTAACTTAATAATTGTTTCATTACATTAATAAATTTTAAGATTAAATCAGATATTTTAATAATCTTTAATTATAAATTCTAGTTTTAGCATACTTATTTCTTGTAGATAAAATTAAAGCAATATAAAAATCAAATGAAATAAATTATATTAGTATCATCATCATTTAGAAATTTTTCTTTAAATTTTTCTTAATTTAATAGCCATAGTCTTTACATAATAAAAGAATGTATATTTATTTAAATCGTCTAATTGTCTTTTTCTTAATTTTGTTAATTTTTTTGGGTTTTTCTGGAATTAGATTATAATTGTAGAAATATTATTTTATGGCATATAATCTTTATAATTTCTCATTTGATCCAAATGTAGACAAGTTTAATGATATGATGCTAAAAATAAATCAGATTAAAGTTTATTTAATGATTAAGAGTGAAATGAATTATTTAATATATTGTTATGAGATTTAAATTCTTATTACAATACGGTCATTCTTTATTTTGGCATTTATGCTACAATAGAGGGTCTGAATTATGTTTAATGTCTTTTTTATTGAGGTGAAATAGCTGAAACAAAATGAGGAGGTTGAACATAATCTTAATCAGCTATAATAATTTTAGATTTAGGTTCATCAGATGTATATTTATCTCTATCTTCAAATGTATTTCTTTAGATATAGCCAGATTGATAATCAGAAATTTAAACTTTAGATTCATTTTCTTCTTAAAATGCTTTGATTGATAGTTCTATGTTTTTACTAAGTTTTCTACAATTTGATTTTTGCAATGATCTTTTATAAAACATTCTAAAATTTTGATTCTCTTTAAAAGTTGCAACTTTTATTCTTTATTCTAAATTTGGTTTATACTAAATTAATGGGCAATCTATAATTTCGTGAGTAAATACTCTACAATTTTAACAACTTGATATACATTTTGAATAATCAGAATTAAGTAATATCTAATCTTTAATATTATGAAATCTCTAAAAATCTTTTTAATAATATTATATGATTTATAAGAACTTTTCTCTCTATATTTTATATAGTATTGCATCACTCATACATTTAGCAGAATATTTTGGATAAAGTCCAGTAAAGAAGGAGTATTCTCCAAATTTCTCACCTCTATTTAATGTTGTTAAGATTTTGTTAGATTTCTCTTCGAATATGGCTATTGATCCTGATTGTACAAAATATCTATTTTATTATCAAATAAATTATACAAACTAGCATCAGTACATCCATTCTATTAGAATACAATATCATTAGTCACTAAATATTAAGTTTCTAAATATCTAGAGATTTCAGTCACTGCTTGTGTTGAAAATAAATCTTTAAGAAAAGTTATCTAATTAAGAATTTTTAACTGAATCGATTTTGTAATTTAATTTCTTAAATCTTCTGGCAACTTTTCCATAATTTTATTAATTTCTTCTTAACTCTCTTAATTTTCATTTTAAAATAAATGATGCTTAATAAAATTTCTAGCTCTCAATTATAAAGCCATTTCAACATTATTCTTATCCATATAATCATTAATTCTCAATAACATTTTTTTATATTAATACTTTGTATCTTATATATTCTTTAAAATAATTCCAATTGAATTGAGTGAATATGCATAAACACAACTTGATAAAAACATCATTATTATTGTAAATACTATTTCTATCCAATTTTATGGTGTTAAATCTCCATACCCAACTGTTACAATAGTTGTTGTAGCCCAATATATTGAATAATTATATTTCATCATTATACTTTCGTTTTCAATCTCATATTTTTGTAACCAAGATTTATCTAAGAGCATATCACTCTTTTCTCCAACATAATACCATAAACATGCTGTAATATGAGCAAAGAAGAATATTGTTATAACAAGAGAAAATAAATCTATCAAATTTGAAAATTATCCTTTGGAATAGAGAGATTCAAAAAATTTATCAAAATTCGTTATTACTTTTTTGGTTGTAACAATTATTTATATTATTTGAAACACTTCGAATACTAAGCTTTCTTTAGGTTTATTGAATATGATAATCCAAATCATAAGACTTATTATATCTTATGCTCCTTATCCTTTAAGATAATGTTTTATTATTTAACTTCTTGTAGTAATAATTTCTCCAAATGATATTGTCGATCTATTTAAATTGACCAAAATTTCCAGAAATAAATACAATATAATTGTAACAATTAATATGATTGGTGCTTGATAAGTGAAGGCAGCTTAGAAAGGGCTTAACCACAATGAAATTATATTTATAATAATTCCAATCAAATCCCAATACATTAACAATTAACTTCCAGGTTGAAATATTTTAATAAATTAAGGATTATCTCCTTAATCTATAGATATTAGAATATACAGTACTCAATGTTTATGTATAAAAAGATGTGCCTCTAGATATGTACTCATCTTAAAGTTATGACTATAATTTTTAAGGAAGTACGTATGAATTTCTGAAAAGATTTTAAACAAATCTATTAACAATAGCTTTGCTTTTGATTTGTTTTAAAAAGTTTGTTACTTGTCCTGATTCATTAATTTATTTTTTACTATTTTCCCCACTTTTTGAAAATAGTTTTTTCTAACCTTAAATAAGCATAATACTTGAAATGAACTATATATAGATTAAGCCCTTGATTATCTTTCCTCACAATCTTATTTAAATTATTTGATTGAATCTCCTGGGTCTTTTGAATCTGAATAGATTGAACAATCTGAATTTTATTTTCTATAATGAATATATGAAGGATTTCTTGTGAATGAAGGTCCAATGCTATTTCTTCTAGAGCTAAGTTATCTTTCACTTTAAATTAGCATAAATATTTATGAGATTAATTGATTTTGTTTATTTAAATATACCATACTGGATTAATTTGATATTTTTTTAATATCATAAAAAAAAATAAAGAAATTATTAGGAAAAAATTTTGTTACTTAATTAATTAAATATGGGGTTTTTGAAATACTAATTAAGAATTGATTAGAAGAGATTTTTAAATATAGGAAAAAAATTCACATTACAATAATGAATTTAATATTAGAAATTCTAAAATATTAGATCCAAAGAAATTAATACCCTATAACACCAAGTCAATAGAATAGGGATTGCAAGAGAATTATTTAATATAGATTCTAACTAAATCAATCAGAAATATTTTAATCCGTATTTGAATTTTATTAAAATATATACATAGTATCTCATATTAATTGTTAATAATCATTCCTAATTGTATTGTTTAATGTATTATGGATATTTTTAATTTTCTTCATTATTTTTGAATGTTATAATGCAACCAAAATTCGACTTATACCTAATTTATAAAAAGGATGATTATAATATATTCAATAATGAATTAAAATTAAAAATTAATAATATTTAATAAATTTTAGAAAATCAAAAAGTTTTAGGCAATCAAGAATTATGATATTAATATATAACTTATAATGTAGGCTAATAATAAAAATACATAAAAAGAGATCATCAAATTTTTATAAAAAAGGAAGTTTTTGTTAATTAATTATAACATTCTATTAATAAAAATGGTATTAAAAAATTCTATTTATTTTTAATTCAATCTTAATTATCCATATATTTATATATACTCTAAATTTACTTAGCAATATATATAATATTTATGATAATTATTAAATTTAGTAACTAAAATTCAACTGAATAATTTAGAACTATATTTAATTATTCTACTTTTTCATTTAATTAAACTCATTAGTAAAATAATATTATGGATAACTCCATCCCGATTATAAGAAAAAAGAGTAATCTAACTGATTAGCCATAAGAAAAGAATAGGACTATTCCTCCTATGATAAATTGTGATAAATTGATTACTAATCTATAAAAGATTACATTAATGGATATCTTAGATCAATTTGCAAAAGATTCTGAAAGCAAGAGTATTGTAGAGATTTTAAGATCTATTTTTGAGATTGCAGAGAAACCTCATAAAGTTTAAGATAAAACATAGATTGATCTATGGAGTATTAATAATTACAAAGATAACTAAAAATTTGAGTTTAATGATGAATAAAAAAATAAGCAAAATGGTTATGATTATTAAAATACTAAGAAGAAGGATCATAGATATAGAGATTTAGATAGAGGTAGAGATAATGATAAAAATTATCATAATGATAGACATGATAGATATGATAGATAAGATAAATATGATAGGAATGAGAAAAGAACTAAATATGATAATAATGATAGATATGAGAGATATGATAGACATGATAAATATTAGAAATATGATAGAAGGGATAATTATGATAAATATGCTAATGAGAATAAAGGGAGAAGAGATTATCATAAAAATGATCATTAAAATGAAACAAATGATATTAGAAATGATTGGATTATAAAGATACCAGATACTATTATAAATGGATAATAAATAAATGGGAAAGTAGATAATTTTAATTAACCTAATATGTTGTCTATAGCTACTCCTAAATGAATAAATAATTTATATAAATTATAAAATGTTATACGGACTTTAATGCAGAAAACATCCTAGTATATAAGTATCTTTTGTATGCACAAAAGTGAATTGTAATTATGGTAATCTTCTTTGCTAATAATGTAACTTCATTTATTGAAATATTAGGTATAAATGGAAATTTATAACATAAAAATGAGCACAAGAATTATTTGAATTAGCTTAATGAATTTGTTTATCAATAAAATGGAAAAACTAAAACTGTTTTGATTCCTAATATTAATAGTACACTTTAAGAATTAGATAAAAAATTGAAGGAATATAATGCATAGATAGATAGAGAGGCATAAGAAATTGATTCAGATATTTAACAATTGTTCAAAATATTTTCTGATAGTTCAGAAAGAGCTAAGAAATAAATTTAAGAGATTATTAGAAGAGACTTATGTGAATAATAAGTCAAAAATCTAAATTTTAAATAGCAATTACAAGAAATATAATTTAATGAGTAAAAAAGAAATGACAATAACAATTATTTATTCAATTCTATATTTTCTAGAGACCAAGATAAAGAATTACCTGTATCTGAATAATCTTTGATGTAGATTATCAACAAGTATAAAATACTGTAATATGAAGAAATGGAAATCTGAATTAACTACGATGTGACATTCTAAATTGTTTAAATAATGTAGTTAGTACATTATAACCATCAAGTAACAGAATTCGCTACAAGAGCACCTAAAATTAATTGTAATAATTCAATCTTCTCAAAAATGACTTCACACAAAGTTTGAATTTTCTATTCTAGAAATTAGCAGATCTTACATAAGATTTTCATACAGTTGAAGATATGAAACGTAGTTTGTATTAATTTGGGTCTTTAGAGGGTTCTTAATCACTAAAATAATCATAAGTTGTATAAAGAACTTTAGGATCATCTCAGTTTATAAGTACTGGACACCAAAGTTAAAGATTTCATAGATCAAATAGTTAATCTTAAATCATGAGTGTAAAGACTCTAGAATCATTTCCACCTTTATCTCCAATGATTTAATCAATTTTGAATAAGATAAGTCATTTATAACCTCCTTAGGCAGATTCTTTATTGAATAATATTGAAACTGTTCCTCCTTGTTTATTCCCTGATGGCATAATTTATGAAGGTCAGATATAGAATAATTAGAGATTTGGTTGGGGAAGAGCCATTATAGGATAAGACTATTATGAAGGATATTGGAGAGGTGGAATGCCTTTTGGATTTGGAAGAATAATATTAGCATCTGGAGATTATTATGAGGGATTCTCATAAAATGGTAAAGCACATGGGAGAGGGATATTTTGTTAGGGCAATTATTCTTATGAAGGAGATTGGGAAGAGGATTAAAAACATGGAAAAGGATTAGAGGTAGTATAAGGAAAGTATGAATACAAAGGAGATTTTAAGAATAATATTAAATGGGGGGAAGGAAGATTGGTTGATTTTATAACAGGGAATATATATTAAGGGGAATTTTAGAATGATTAATTGTAAGGAGAGGTTACAATTGAATATAAAAATGGTGACAAATATTATGGATAAGTTAAAACAGAGGATGGGTAGATAAAAAGGCATGGATAAGGAGTATATTAATGGGTGGACTCTAGAAAATATGAAGGACAATATGAAAACGATAAAGAACATGGAGATGGACTATTTATATGGTATTTTTCATTTTCATATTGAATTGATTAGGCCTGATTAATGGATGTATAAAGGATAGTGGTAATTTGGGATGTAACATGGTTAGGGAATTTAATACAATCCATAAGGGAAAGAGAGAGAAGGAATTTGGTATAATGGAGTATTTAATAAATGGATTAGTTGAAAAAGGTGATGTCTATTTAATAGCTTATAAAATATTCAGTTTAAATTGATAATCTTTATATTTCATTTCTTGCCATATGAAGTTTAGTTAGCCATTTCTAATACTTGTTATTTAAAGATATGGATCACTTCATCAATGATAGCATTCTCCTCTATTGATATAATTAAAATGAATACCATTTCTTCTATTTAATTCAGTATCATAGAGATCTCTCAACTCTTATAAACTAGCTGTAGCAGCATTAATAGCATTTTAAGAATCTTTTAAGACTGAATTAGCTTTGGCTTAAACAGCAAGAGCAGCTTATTCTTACTAAAGATATTAGATACTATATAGTTACCACAACTAATTTGTCTTGAAGTTGAGTCTTTCTTTGAATTTCATCTTATAAATGAGCCTTTTCAGCTTCAGAATCAGCTAACCAATCAGCTAATTGATAATATCCAGCAATTTCATTTTATTCTAAAGCAGACAAAGCTGATTTTAATTGATCTTCTAAATCACTTAATGCATTATAAACTAATTGACCAACATTTAGTCCTGGTTATCTATCTCCTCCATTTGTACTTTCATTCTCTCCCAAAGCATGTAATTCAGCATTTCCTGAAGCCTATTCAGAAGCTAATTATGCAAATTTGCTCATGGCATCTTAATTAAATAATTAACTGTATTGTTTCAACTTATCAGCCACATTTTCAACTTTCAATTCAACCATTGAAGATGGAGCTCCTGTTAAGTATCCACTAAGAATTTTCTATTTATAAAAATACCTCAAATCATTCTTTAATATTCTTATAACTCCTAAAGCATCATTATGTTATTTAATAGCTCTTACAAACAATCCATTTGAAAAACATCTTAGTTCTTCTAATTCAACTTCTCTTCTATCTATATCAGCTAATCTTTATGTAGCCCAAGCAATATAATCTGTTGCTTCCTGAAGTATTATATTAAATTAATTACTCTATATTCAATTCCAATTTATTCTCTTCTTGCTTTTGCACTTGCCCAAGCTTTTTGATTCAATTCATTCACTTTTGATAAAGCTGCAATTCTAGCTTATCCAATTTCTTCATCTGAAATGTTTTTTTCATCTGCTAATCCTTATGCTTCAATATTGCTTGTCTTTAAATCATTCAATAAATCATAGACTGCTTGAACAGCATCATTTGATTGTGATCCTGTCTTTGAAATTGATTGCAATTTATTATTACCTACAACAACAGTGCAAAATCAATATCTAAGGCTTGAACACTCAATAAAGCAATCAAAGCTATGGTTATGAACTTATTCATCTCAATAAAATTAATAATATATTTCCACAAAAAACGGGTAAATCACTTAATTAAAAAATTTATATAATTGAATATAAACAAAAGTAGAATATAATAAATATAAAATCATTCTACTTCTCAATCATTCATTAATAAAAAACTATTATTTGGATTCTACATATATTAAGCATATGAGTTTTCCTATGTTCTGTATTACTAATATGAATTTTAGTAAATGATTGTGATCTTTCTTATCTTATTATATAATAAAATAAGTATATTTTAAAATATTGTTTACAATTCTATATATAAAACTATAATAAATTCATATTTATTTGTATAACTTAATTATTTCTCTTATAAATCTCAAGATAATAATTATAATTTATAAATTGTATTTTCAATAAATAAATTTATAGATAAAGATAACCATTAAAAAATATATTTAATATTTGATTAATTATTTATTTTGATCATAAAAATGATCTGATATTGTTTTACAATATAAAATCATCATTTCCTTTGCAAATACTTTATTCGCTATCACTTCCTATGTCTTCTAAATTAGCATTAACTTTTTCATTTGGTGTACCATATGCTGTATTTGTATTATTATTATTATTGTTTTCAGTCAAATAAATTAAAACTGAATCATTGTCAACTGCTTCTATAATAGCAGTTCCTGGTAGTTCATATGTCATATCATTAATAACTAATTTAAACTTCTTTGATCGCAAATTCTCAATAAATTTAGCACATTCAAATGGATTAAAATCAAGTTCACTATCAGATTCTTATTTTTCATAGATTATTTCTTAACAGAATTTTGAATTATCTTTATTTTACTTAATTTTCTTTTTATTTTAAACATCCTCAACAACATTATTTGTTGGTTAAGGAACTTTTTTAAATTATTTTTTGATCATTTTCCATTCTTCTGAAATTAACTATGTTAATTAATTATGATTAAGTTCAGGTCTTTCTAATTTGATTTCTTTTAATCTTGAATTATAATAGGATTTCCAATCATCATTTTTATTCACTTTAGATTCTTTATTTACTTTTTTTAATTGATCTTAATTGCTCTCTTTGTTTCCCATCTATTCAAAAATATCTTCTGCACTTGATTCATTAAATATTTATTCTTTATGATTAGTCTATTCAACTTTAACTAACTATTAAAAATATCATTAAATATATACTTTTAATGAAGGAATTTACTTAAATTTCTTGTCTGCAAATAATTCAAATTGATTGCAATATATTTGCTTCTTTTTTGAATTTTACATTTTTTAATTTATAAAAAATTCATAATGGCGGTAATGCTCTTAAATTTATTTAAAGGTTATCAATACAAAAACGAATCAATCATATAAGACATAATTATACTATATTAAGTATATTAAGTACATTAATTACATTAATTATAAATCTAAAATAAAACTAGAAAACATTATATGTAATGTATAATATAATCTAATATAATAATAATATATTCTATAAAATTTAGAGTATCTCATATAGATTTCTAGAATTAAACATTATGTGACTATTCTCTATCATCTATTTCATCATCAATATCTTTTTAACATTATTATTTTTTTTATTAATTCATTAATTTATCCTTGATCTCATATTATTAATCTTTTTCTATAGATTTTGTTATAACACCTACATTATTTATTTAAATTCAGACCTTGACTATATAATAAATTTTCAATAGAAACATATGTAATTTTTCTCAATTTATGAATGAATGAAATATTAGAAACTGTTTTTGTGTCTTTATAAATGATGAAACAAGGAAATTGATCATCTGAAAAATTATCAATATATTAAGTTGCTAACATCTCTTTATATTATTTGTCTAGCTAAGTTTAAAAGATTCAATAATGTAATATTAATAAATAGATAGAACAACAAATCGATCATTTGATATTACTTCTTATTCCAATTATTAGAGTCTCTATATTTATTATAAAAGAAAGACAATATATCTTCAAACTTGATATTATTTTTTGAATTCATCATCATCAAAAGAAATTTTCATCACTTTATCTAATTTTTAAATGACTTATTTTTAAGTTTCTGCTAGAGTTCTCACTTTCTCTCTTTCTACATAGTTTCCATGTTTAACATGGATATCTTCCTATTTTATAGTTAAACCATTATCCATAAATTATTAATTTTTTTATTTCATTGACTTCATATTCCATATTTCTAATACACATACATAAGAATGATAAAACTTAAAAATATATAAATGTATTAGTATTTGACTATATAATGAATATACATATTTCAATAGAATGAATTACGATTCCCATTATAATAATTCCATTTCTCTTGATCTTGTTAAATGTTTCCAAATGTATTCGGCACTTAATTTAACTAAACTTACTAAGTAATATTTTTCTACTCTACTGGAATACCTATGTAATATTCTTCTACATTTTCTTATCCTATTTTTAAATATTTATATATTACCTGATTCTTATCTCAATTTTTAATTATCCACTGTGTCAAACATATCATTATACATAGTGTCAATACTATTTAAGGCATCATCTAATTCCTTATTGCTTCCTGGTTCAAAAGAAAATGGTGCAGGTTTTTTTGGAGGAGCAACAGGTTTAGTTTTTGTATATTATACATATTATTATTATGGAACTTGTTATCCAGGATTTATTTATTAAGCATAAATTTGTGGATATTACACATAACCTTATTATGGATATTAATTTTGAGGGTAGGGATAACCTTAGTTATTTGGAATTTACATATTATAAAATAAGAATAATATTAAAACTATATATACTTTATATATAAAGATTTAATATTTGTTTATATCTCATAAAACTTTTATTTTTTTTCTTTATATTATTTATTTTGGTTATTACTTTTCCTTATAAAAAGAATTAAATCCGATAACAAAATAAGATAATTATCAATAATAAAACCTATATAAATGTTACAAAATTTTCTGGAACTTAAGATAATTTAAATTTCATTTCATGATGAAAATATGTAAATATATTATTGAAATAATTAAATTAAGAAATTGAAATTATAAATAAAATATAATAAAATATTTTACCTTTTGATTGAGTAAGAGTTCTTGAAATACTTATTTATTTTTACGTTAAATAATTTAATTTCGTGGTTCAGTAGAAATAAATAGAAAATGAATTAAATATAACTCTCACCATATTTTAGTTTGATTTATTTATGTTTTTTAACAAGGACAGATTATTAATTTTGAGAAGGAATAATCACTTATTTTAATTATGTTTCATAGTTTTTCTTTATTAATGTAATAAATAATGATGTAGTTATATTAAATTTTTTCATAATATTTAAATTAACAATGGATAGTCTATAAAAGTTGGTTGCTTTTGAATTATAAATTCAGATTTAATTATATTAAATTAAGAGTTTATGCAGCAAAACTTTATAAATTCATAAGGAGGATCTCGATTATAAAAAGCATTTGTGTTTCCACATCAAGAATGCTATAAGGAGAAAGATGAATCATTACTATTGTCATAATTATCTGACATAAATATTAATCAAGAAAAAAATTCAATAAATATAGAGTTATAAACATCAAATTTAAATATGAAAAAATAAATGATTAAGTTACCCATTTAAAATGTATTAAGTATAATATTAAGTAGGTTATTTATTCACCAAAAGGAATGAAAAATTAATAACATAAAATATAAAAAGATCAACCCTCAACTATTGAGAAATTAATTATCAAAAATAAAATGATTAATCGATTTAAAAAGAATTTACTAGAACAATCATATATTTTATAAAAGGATATAAAAAGTAAAATTGAATCAGTACTAAGAGTAGCCAAAGTTAAATCAGAATAAGTATATATATTAATAATAATATTCAGTACTTAGATGAATCAGATCTTCTACCATTATTGACATCAAATAATTATTTAATATTTTGTTGGGACATTATAAACTTATTTCTAGATTTCATAAATCTATGGTATTGTGCATATTTAGCTACAATCTTAAGTTTTTAGACCTAACACACCATATTAGAAACCATCCTCCTATTTAATAATGGTTTTGAAATTTTACTTAATTTTCATCGATCCATATTAATAAACGGAGAATATGTTAGAAATAGGGGTATAATTACAAAAACATATTTAAAAGGAGGATTTATATTTGATTTTTTAGGATTCATGATTTGGTTACTTTAAATCTTAATGAATGGAGATGAGTCTTATTTTGAGATAATAGTTATATTTTAAATTTTACTTATTGTTATTAGAATAATAAGAAAGTATTAAAATAGTACATCATAATTATATCTAAAAGAATACCAAACTAATATTTTAGATCTTCTTACATTAATGCTTATTTTATACTTTTTTGCACATATTGTCGCATGTATGTGGTATTATATTGGAGAGAAGACATCAGATTTAGGACAAAGTTGGATTCTTAAATATGGATTTAGTGATAAATCTAATGGTGAAAAATATAATGCTGCTTTTTATTGGGCAACTATGACAATGGTTACAGTTGGATATGGAGATATTACAGCCACTAATTATTATGAGATCTTATTTTCTAATTTTATGATGCTAGTCTCTAGTTGTATCTTTGGATATTCTATGAATTCAATTGGAATGATTCTAAAAGCTATTTAAGATTAAAATAGTAGATACAGGTAAAGTATTAAAATTATATAAGAAAAACATTGCGAATAGTTAATGCTTACATGCATGCTAATAATGTTAATGAATCCATTTAATATAAAATAAGAAATTATTTACAAATACAAAATGAAAGAGAATCATTCGAAAATGCACAAGCACTTGAAAAGATTATTGATGAATTACCATCAGAATTAAAACTTGAATTATAATTAAACATTCAACAAAAAATAATAGCCAAAATAAAAGTATTGGGAGCATTATTCTCTAAATCTACATTAACATTAACTGCCTAAGTTTTAAGTAAGAAATTGATGTTCCCTGGATAACTCATATTTTAATAAAATTCAACTTAAGATGATAGTCTATATTATTTGTATTAAGGTTCTATATAAGTAATAGAAGAGAAAAGTTAAAAGGCTTTGAGTATCATTAAAGCTGGTAATACTTTTGGTGAATATTCATTTTTTAGTGGATTCTAACCTATAAATACATTCAAAGCATTAGAATTTTGTTAAATTTATAAATTAGATAAAAAATAATTCTTATAAATTATTAAACGAAATCATCGAGATTTTGAAACATTTCATCATGTGAAAGATTAAATAAATTTATATAAGGATTATTCAAAATTAATAATTCAATGTGATATATGTAAAGAATATTCTCACTAAGAAATTTAATGTCCAAAACTTACTTATTAACCTAATTTTGAATAACGTTTAAAAAAGTAACAATTTAAAAGTGAATATAATACTCGATGCTTTCATAAGAGAACATAATTAAAAATCAATACACTTGATGTACTCAATACTATTTAAACATCAGTTAAGAGTTATTTATAATAAGAAATTTCTCAAATTTTAGGTTTTAATTTTAGTGGTAATAATGAATCAGCTACACATATTTAAAAAGCCGAATTTTAATCAAATACAATTAATTTAACTGATAATGAACCTTAACAAAATATCATTAATTTAAAATCAATTACAATAAAATCATAAAATTTTGATAATGTTGCTACTATTCAAGGCAAGAATTTGAATGAGTATATTGCTGAAACTGAAGTTAATTGCCTTATGGAATTAGAAAAATAACAATTAAATGTTTCTTACAATATTGATAAAATGTATCATTTTACAGATTATATGACTCATAATAATTTAAAAAATGTAATTTAGAATATTGGTAGAAAATTAAGTAAGAAAGAAAAGAAAATATTATAATTACAAGGCAAATATACATTCTATTTTAATGTTAAGATAAAAGCATAAAAATTAAGAGATTCTATGAAATATTTAAATTAATCTGATTGATTTTTATAATACAATATGTATTCACAGACCATCGTGTACTCTTCTTCTTCTTCTTCTAGGCTTAGCTCCTCCACATGGACAATTATCATCTCCAATTCCATCTTTCCATCTACATGTAGAACCATCTTCACAAGAGCATTCACCATTATCATTATCTGTGCATTATAAATGCATATATGTGCATTTGAAATCTTAGGCTAATTGCATGCAATCTAATTCATAATTAATTTATACTTGCATTAACATAAGTTATTTAAAGCAAAAGGAGGAGTGCTCCAAGGAATATTAATTTCTTCATAATTATAATAATTAATGAATTTATTTAGTTGTTAATTTAAATTCAATTATAAATTTATGCTCTTGTATTGCAGAATTCACTTATAATATAATATAAATAAAATTAGAAATGGGAAAATATTTTAATATACATTTTCACAAAAATAATTATATATCATCTTATATTTATTCAAATTTGGAAAGATATTTTACATTGTCTACAAAAATAGTAGAATCAGATTCAGTAATTATTGGATCTAATTTAATAACTTTAATCAGAGCTTTAATATCATAAGAAGGAATAAGAGTATTCTTACATTATATGTAAGTTAAAATGTAATGCAAAGGAAAATGAGTATCTTCAAATTAATCAACATCTGTTCTAGGAAATAATAATCTCCTTTCTACATCCTTAATGTATAGATCTTCTAGATTATATTCTTAAAGTAGATTTTTTACTTATATAACAAAAGTACTATTAATAAATGGCTTAAGAATTTATTATCTAAATAATTCAGCTTTAATGTCCTTTATTCTAGAGTGTAATGGCAATGCCACATACTCTCCAACTAAATAGGGGAAAAGTCCATTTTTAATGGCCACTATAAATTATTCACTTTCAAATCTATGTGTTTGTAAGAATTTATTATACGCAACACTTCTCAACAATCTAAGCATTAGATCCTTGGCTAAACTTGAATAAAAACTATTATCAAAAAGTTTAGTAATAAAAGGAATAGGCTTTTAAATTAAATATCTGTACTCTTCAAATTAATTGAGAGCTCTTTCAATAAAGAGATAATTGTAATTTGCCTTAATTAACACCTGAGCTATGGCATACTTAATATAAAAGATTTCTAGATAAGTAAATTGAAGAGAAGTAAAAAATGAAATCATCTATTCAAAATTAATAATACTTTCATAAAAAACCCCTTTAAGTAATTCCTACAGTATAGTTTTTAATTAATTAAGATTAGCATTTTGAAAAAACATTTTCATTATATCTTAAGACAAGAGATAATCAAAAATATCATTATTTAATTAATCAACTTAAAACCTGTCAATCCTAACAACATTATTTCCTCTATCTCTTTCCCATCTATTTGTAAATGATATTTCATCATATGAAACCTTTTTAGATGTATGTTTTTTAGAAATGTACTTACTTATTTCATTCTATGGTTATTATAGTGAAGGTAGATGAGTGTGATTGTCTTAATATAATTCTAAGGAATTTCTTTTATTCGAAGTTAAGTCCTTAATAGCAATATTTCTAGATTGATGTTCAACTTTATTATTTTTATAGAGTCCATTAAAAAATCCTTGCTATTGAGAACCATCCAAATTGGATTGAGATTTGCGATGTTGATATTTACTAACTTAATTCAACTAAGGATTGACTATTGATTATTAAATGTTATTGGTTATTTAATCTATAGATTCCTGTTTAAATTAAGAATATTATTCTTTTAGTAAAGAAGATTGCCTTTGACTAAGTCTGTTTGACTCTTAATAATAATCAGATTATAAGGAAGGCAAGAGCGGATTCAAATAAATTTTTCTGACTGCAATGCTTAATTTATCTTCTGATCTTTATTTAAGTTTAGCTCTCTCATTCAAGTAACGTTAATACTTTTCAACCACTTACTTATATTGTTAACTAGTGGTTTCATTATTACAAAATTATAACATATAAAAATTATCATAATTTACATTTTTTCAATTGTTTATTTATGATTTGTGTTAGTTTCATTAATTCAGCCACATAGTTCTTTGATAGAGATTACACTTCTATTGATTAACTATTTTCAACCTTATTTCTTAGATCAACTAACTCTTTCAATGATAACTTATCCATTAAACTAGATTTCAATGTTTAAGACATGACTGGTTTATCAAAAATGCTAGAAGTGTGTTTACAAGCAGATTATTATCTTGGTTCTATTTTGGTTTAAGATGAAAATCTATTTGAAATATGAAGAGTCATCCCTATCGATCTTTTAGATAGCCTATTTTAAGGAGGATCTCTAAATTATTCTATTTTGTTTTGCATACTAGATCTCAAAGATCTATCATTTTTTTAATTTAACTAAATCACATCTTTGTAACCTGTCATTTTTTTACAAATCTCATCAAATGAAGGAATACTACAAATATTAACAGCTCAAATACTCTCCAAGTGATTAGTTCATTGTAGGCTTTTTAGTAATTGATTGAGCTGTTCTTTTAACATAGATTTACTGTTAATCTGAATTACCAAATTGCTACATTTTTGTATAAATGCTTTCTCTAAATTTTCTTAGATTGAATTCTGATTCATCCCCAAGTCTTAGACTTTAATTTTTTAACTATTATTCTGATTACTATTGAGATATCTTTCTTAACATCTTAACGAATTTAATTTTAAAAATAACAATTTATAAATGAAGCATCAAAAATGTTTTTCCAGTTGATTTTTCTTATGATTTGTATAAATAAGCACTTTATATTATGCTTTTCATATTTTATCCCAAATTATCCCTTTTATATCTAAACTAACTGTTATTTTTATTTAATATATTCTATTTCAAAGTAACCATCATTAAACATTTCCAATAAAATAGTGGATAAAAAGATATTTATTATAAATTTGATTATTGATGATATTTTTTCTTCACCTATCAATTAAAAATTAAAAACTATTAATGTAGCATTCTTATTTTAAAAAAGGAATCTCAATGTATAATTTCTCCTTTTAAAACACATATACATATTAATAATAAAAAAATTCTTAATTTTAAAACATAAAAAAGTCTAAATTAATCCAAATAAAACCGTTCTAGTCATATTATCAAAAAAATAAAATAATGTAAAAGCTTTGAAAATCATGAAAATTTCTATATTTAATTGATAAACAATAAAAGATATAAAAATTCAAAAATTTCATGGAATTTAAATTGAATCAATTAATATCAATAGAATTAGGTATCTAGTTTATAGATTGTTAAAAAAAAGTAGAATATTTTAAGATAATTTGTATTTGAATAAGATAGGAACATATTCAAGAGTTTTTAAATAATTTTTTTTTTCATATATATATTAATAAAAGGGGATAAAATTATGTATCTATCCAAAATCTTTGATTTTTTCTATTAAAAAATAAATAATAGATTAATCAATCATTTAAGAAAAGAGAATATGATTGTTTATAAATAGAAATAAAGTGTAAAATAGTTTTATTAACATTTAAATATTGAAAAACGAGAAATTTAATTACAATAAATTTTGGACATCTTAATTTAATTATAATATAAATATCACTATTATTTTTATTTTGATGAGTATATATTATATATAAGCCCTGATTTTAGCCAATTTATCAGAAATGAAATTTCTTTACAGGTTTATTATAGAATGCATTAACTTTCTTATACCTTTTTGATTGATTATATTATCTAAATAATATTTTTACTAAAATTCGTGAATCAATATTTTGATGAATATACTTCAAGCAGATGTCAGATAAAATTGTTTATGAATGATATTATTATTCTGAAAAGTCAATTTACATACAAAGCGAGATTTACTTTAAAAAATTCAACAGTTTTAAAATATTGAGTAATAAATTTAGAGATAAAAAGTATTATTATTATAAAAATGCAATTTGACCAAGAGTTTGGCCCTTGGAGCAACGATTAGATTAGACCAAGATCTCGTTATAATTACTAACATGAGACTTCATTAAATAAAAATATAAGTGAAATTAGAGTTGTTCGTAGGATTTCTTATAAGATCAACTCTATAAAGAGATCTCAATATCCAAAACTTAAAATAAATAATATTTCCCCTCAAATAAATACTAAAAGATCATAAAACTATGAATCAGTCAAGAAAAGGGAAGAATACTCAGAATAACATGCTTTACCTAAATTATTAGAAAATAAGGTTCTATTATAGTTAAAAATACCGAGGCATAGACATACAGATATGAAAGTGGTTTAAGACATAGAAAAAATTATTAGGAGAAATCTATTTTATATTCCAACTCATAAATATTCGATTGTTGATTGAAATAATTAATTAAAAGAATAGAAATCTGGATACTATTAAAATATCTGATATAATTAAATAGTTATTACATAATTTCTAAATATTATTTAAATCTATTTTGCATTAAAAGTTCTAAATAAAAACAAAACATATTATTATCATTAATATTTTTAAAAAAATGCAAGAAAATATTCACAAAAATAAATATTATCTAATATTAGTTATTAAATTGATATTTCAAATTAATAATTTGAATTAATCTTCCTATTTATTTGAAAATTATTAAATATAATTCTATTCTAATAGAATTGATTTTCTGTTTGAAAAATAAATAATCTTAATTATAAATAAAAACAATTATTTTCCAATCCTCTAGTGACCTATAAGATTGGAAATATCAATTAAAATTATTTTAAATTCACTTTTCTAATTTTGTTCTAAAAGTATTTATTATAATACTTAAATTTAAGAGAAGATATTCAAGTTTTAGTGATACTACAACATTATTAGAATTGACAGAAAAATGTTATTAGTATTTTTTTATCTATAATTTAGTTAATAATAATCTAATCTATTTTAATTCATTTTTAAGTTCTTTTATCAAAATTAAAAAACTCTTAAAAATTAATACGCTCATAATATATACACATATTAATTTATTTAACTGAATGAAAGAATAAGGCAGGTATAGTAAATTAAGTGAGGAGGAAGCAGCTGCTTAATTTGAGTTGAGGTACTGATTGTGATTTACTTAAGAAAATAATAAATTATGGGCAATTTGCTTGAATAATACCAGAGTAGCCATAAAAATAAAAAGACATCTAAAATATCAAAACCATAAGAAATAAATTAATAGGAATTCATTGTGTTCAATCCAAAGAAACCATTATAAAAAAATCCTAAGCAGAAATAAAATCAATTGAAACTTGTTAAAGAAGAATCTCCCCAATAGAATTCTACTCCTACTCCAGAAGTAGAAGTAGAATAGATTGAATAAATTGTGGAGCCAACTCCTATTGAATAACATCCTTCTATTGTTAAAATAGATAGTGCCAACTTGAAAAAATTATTGTTGAAAGATATTGGTAATATAGATTTGGAAATAAAAAGATTAACAAGAGAAACAAAGGATTTTGAAATGGATAAATTAGCAAATAAATCCTAGTTTTCTTATTAATCTTAAAGCACCAAAGAAGTTGCTCCTAGGAACAATCCTCGATAAACTTCATCATAATAAAAATAATAATCTAAAGTATACTATGAATTAAGACAAAGACCATCAAGTAAAGAATCTCGTATTTCTGATTCATCATATACAAAAAAAGCTGAATGTTTCAAAGGAGTTCTAAGAAGCTCAAGCTTAAAAAAGCTACCTTAATAATAATAATAATAATAATAATAATAATAATAATAATAATAATAATAATAATAATAATAATAATAATAATAATAATAGGAATAAAAATAAAATTAAAATTTAACTTAATAAAAACAAGTAAATGAAAAATAATCTATGAACAAAACAGTAACAATAGAATCAGAAAATAAAGAACCAACTACTAATAAAATTTCATAAAGTGAACGCAAAGCTCCTAGACCAATGATTTAAATTAATCGAAGTTAATCAAAATAAGATTCCCCTTATGTTGATAAAAAATCAACTCCTCCTGTAAAAGCTATGTTGAAAGTATAATTTAATTCAATTCCTATTGGATCTAATTCCACTAAAAATAATAGTGCATCTTATGTATAATTTAATAAATTATATAAGTTTCATCACCATAAAGAATCTTACAATAGTTAAACTAGTTTTTAAAAAAATAAATGCGTTGAAGCATAAATTGAAGAAGCATTTTAATTATACAATAATTTAAAGTTTTTAATGTAGAGCAAATCTAGTGTTTTATAGGTCAGAAAAGATGGAAATCAGATGCCTAGAAAAACAGTTGATTTTTTTGTAATTATTTTTTATTTATTAATAGTAACATAAAGAAATAGCTAAACCAACTTTATTCTGATAAAACAATTTTGATAATATAAGTTTAGCATAGTTTATTTCTAATTAACTATCAAACTGAATAACAAATTTTTGTTATACTTTTTATTAGAAAATTCAAAAGGAATTATTCAAATTTTTAAAGCTTTCATGGCTTCTTACAATTATGTTTCCTTTTCTTTACCTTTTGTAATTAAATGTTATCTGACTTTTTCATATTCATCGATTTCTTTTTCATGAGATTTAATTATTTCAGCAACTTCGTTTGCAATATCCTTTTTTGGTTTAAGAATGAAGCTGTTAATTAACTGAAATCTATTACCATTTACCAACTGGTTAATATGTCTTCTATTAATCAACATTACCAAGTTCCTTTAATGTAATTTGGCATTTCTGAATGTTTCGTTTAAGCTAAGTCATTGAAGCTTCATATTGTCTGACTTTAGCCAAAGTATTCATAACATCCTTTTCTAACTCCATATATTGATGATACTATTACTCTTTCTCTTTATTAATTTGCTACATATTTAAATTTAATTTAATTTAATTTAATCATTATTGTGATGGTCTTTTAGCAGTTCCAGGAACAATTGCTGATGAACGCCGCGCCTATTTCACTGATTAGGGATTTACACTTATTTGACTCGATTTCATGTCTTGGATTTCCATATTAGTATTTCTCTTGGTAAACTTATGATTACCAGAATCCCTTTATTTTTCTTCCATGATTGGCATCATATTAATGGCCTTATTGTTCATTAAAACACTACCTCTCTTACCTTTATTTTTTTGAGGATCCTCTTATATTAATCTTTTTGGAGGACTACTTTTGGGTCTTTGGAAGTCCTTGAATAATGGAACTCCATCTTCTCCATACTCTACCTCTAATATCTTGTTTTCCAAGATCTCTTTGCAAGATGGTCTATCTTAAGGATTTGGGGATAACATCCTCTATAATAACATAGTAAGAGAATGACTTGAATTCAATTCCTATTCGACAGCCATCCAATCAATTTTCATATCAATATTTGCTTATTTATTGGCAAAAAGTGGTTTGCCAATCAATAAATAATACAAAATGCAACCCAAAGAAAATATATCACATTTCTCGTTGTATGTTTTTTTCGGATCTAATTCAGTTTCAAATACTTCAGGTGCCATGTAACCTGGTGTTCCAGTATATTGATAGACATTGAGTTTTTCTTAGACTACACTTGATACACCGAAATCGCTGACCATTATATTAGGTCCCATATGAATTAATCCATATCTTTTTAAGGGAACAAAATCTCTAAAGAGAATGTTATCTGGTTTTAAATCTCTATGCATTATATTCTTTTCGTGTAATCCATTAAGTCCTTCCACTATTTAACGGAATATCACTTTTGCTGATAAGAAAGGCACTGGCCCATTTAATACTTTGAGTGCATATTCAAGTGAACCTCCTCTTGCTAAATCTATGATGAGATATATCTATGCTTTATTCTCATAGACTTCATGCAAGTTTATTAAGTTTGGATGGTTGAGTTGCCTCATGATTCTAATCTCATTTTCGACTTGTTCCTAAACTATATATTTTTTAAAATACTTTTCCTTTTGGATCTTGAAAGAGTGTTTTCTTATAAAATGCTTTGGCAGCATACATTTGATTATCAAATTTCGATTTTGCTTCATAAACTGAGGCAAAAGTTCCTTTACCGATTAATTTAGAAATATCATAGTTCACTTAATAGTCAAGCATGTTTAATTTGTTTCTTAGATTGTCGAACCAATACATGGTTTAGAAGTTAAAGTTGTAAAATTCATTTGCATCTGTGTCATCTCTCTCTAAAGTAAATTTGTATATTTAAGTATGAAATTCATCACCTTTCATCTATTTTTGAGTCTGTTTATTAGTTTATTCAGCTTTTACACTGAATCTCAAATATTAAAGGGAAACCTTATAAATCTTCTATTTCTAAAAACTAAGTAATTGAGAAAATACATTTATTTTGTAGATGTGTTCATCACTGCATAAAAGTAGCAGAACTGATTTATGATTAGTGCACTTAAAGAATTCAGTCTTGAAAATGATTTATTCATTAGCTGGTTCTGATTGACATTTTACAAACAATTTGTTGACAGATTGCATATTAAAAAAATTAACCCATATACAAAAATTGATATGTCAATTATATTTATAATAAACTTATATAAGTGAATATATAATGATGAATTTTAATGAGTACGATAATTTAATATGAACTCAACTTTCGCACTACTGATATACAATTTCTTTTTTATTTTATTTTAAACTTATATAACATTATATATGTAAATAATACTTTTTATTTTTATCATATTCTATATATTTATATTAATTAAATGAGATTACTCTTTAACTTAAATTTAAAGTAGCATTTAAATTAATTCACAAATTTAAGAATTATTATTTAAATATACTAACTAACATTTAAATAAATCAATCTATAATTATAGGATCTTTTGTTTGTTTAGTAACTTCAGTAATTTCAGAATCATTGTCCTTTCTTTTTTCTTTATCTACAGGTATAATTTCTTTTTATAATGCTTATTCTGTGTTTACAAATTGTTGTTTAGCTCTAATAAATTAAGTAATTTTAAAATTTTTATTGGTTTCAGGTTTCTCCAATTTAAATCCTTTGCGAACTCTACAACAATATATATTATGTAAATTACTGCTTTTATTTAGAGAAAATATTTTAATTAGAATCTTAAAACATCATGTGATTTATCATTTAATTATCTTGTTCAGTTAATTCAATCCCTAAATCTTAATTGATCTCCTTTTATTTTCTACTGTCCATCATAATTGATCTATATTCTTAGGATAATCGTTTTTCATCAGTGTAATTCTTAAGAAAAAACTCAAATCCCTAATAAGAATGGATTATGTATTACTCTTTATTTTATATGATGAAGAGTCACCATATATTATGAAAATTAAGTAATATTATAGATTTTATTACTTTTTCCTGTGTTATTCTTGACTACTTTTTGCAATAAAGAAGGTTGAATACTCTTAACAAATTGATGCATTTCATTGAAATTAGAATGTAGAGAATAAGGAATTACATATCTTCTATTATCTGGCATTTAATAACTGGTAGTATTTGCCCAACCAGTTGCAGTTATGGCAATGGTATTTTTTTCTTTGAGTCTTGCTTCTACTTCTCCTTTTCTAATGACTTCAATCCAACCTTAAGATTTATCTGTAGTGAAATATTCAACATAGAAATTCATAGCTGTTACAATTTCATATCGTTATTCATTCACTACAATAATAGTTTCATAATGTTTAGCTAATTCAACCATTAATTCTTCCTTCCCTACAGAATCAACGCATAAGAAAACTCTATTATTTGGATTTTTATCAATGATCTCACATAACATTTTAAAAGCTTCATCTCTATTGGGAAACTTAAAAATTGGATCACAATAAGTATTATCTAGAATAAGTTCATCAATATCAATGGAACACTTTCCATTTTCATTTGAAATATTTTGAGGAGGGTAAAGATGCGGGTTTTTTGGAATCATCTCCATATTAAATCTCATATCTCCAGTATGTAAAATGGTACCAAAGTAACCTTAAAAAAGAATCATCACAGCACCAGGACAATGGTTAGCATCTAAAAAGGTTACTTTAACTTTATATTTTTTGCATAGTTCTATTTCTGTTGGTGTTTTCATAGGAATAGTCATCTATTTATAAGTTGATGAGTTATTAATACCACTCCTTTGACTCCTGGGAATTTAACTAATAATAATGCTTTAGTGACTGTGGAACAAAATATTTATCCGTAATCCCAACTATTGCTTATACCTTAATAATGATCAGAATGCATATGGGTTAAGAAATATATGTATCGTTTAAGGGGATTTCTTTTTGCATATCCAAAATCATCAACAACAATGTTAGTATATGAAATTAATACCATTTATATTTATAAAAAGAATGGACGAAGTTAATAATCGACAAACCCCAAAATTACGATTTAGATAATAACAACTATAATAAAAAGCCATAGAAGTAAATAATGTTGAAATATATAGAGTGATCCAAAACAAACACAAATTACTAGATTGCCATCAGGTTCAAAAAATGCAATTGCATTACCTCGTTTGGATAGTAGAGCTGCAACTCAATCTTTAGTTATGAAAGATGTGGATAGAGAGATGAATTAATTGGAACTTAGTAGCAAAGTTAGAGATTTAGAGATTTTGATGATAGATTTCAAAGCTAATATTGAAAGAAGGATATAAAAGACTATTGAAGATAATCCTTAAAAGTTTATACAATCAATAAAGTAACTAGAATCATAGGAAATGCATTTATGGAAGCAAGTAAATGATAAACAGGTCATACTTCAAGATGCTATAAGTCAGTTACGAAATTAAGGAGAAAAGAATAGAGATAATCTTTCATAAATGATACTTGAATTATAAAAAAAATGTAATGATCAAGAACTTAAATTGAGTGCATTAATTAATTAATAGGAAGGTATTGAATTGAAATTAAATGTTTCAAAACCACATGCTGTATAACCTATTTAGGATAATCTTGAAGTAAAATTATTAAGAGAAGCATTTAATAATGAGAAAACACATAGAGATGTAATTGTTGAAGATTTGTAAAAGTAATGGTAGGATTTTCATTACAGATTAGTTAAATAGGAATCTGATTTTTATAATAAATTGAAATAATAAAGAGAAGAGTTTTTAGAATAAAATGAGAAAACTAAAATAAGTATTAAAGCATTAGATAATATGAAATTGGCTAAAATAAATTAAGATTAAGATTACATAAAGAATTTGATTGGTAGTGTAGAAGCTAGAATTGCTGATGAAGTTGAAAGACGTTTAAAAAGTGAATTTGATTAAAGAAATTAATTAGAGAATAAAATATAAGCATTTAAAGAGGAAATAAGAAATGATGAAAAATAAATTTTATTAGGAGAATAAAAATTTATGAAATAGATGCATGATAGTGTTTCATCATTAAATTAGATTATTAAAAATACAAAAGAATAATTAGAAGCTAATTTGGCTGCATCTTAAACTATTGTTACTGAAAATATTAAATCTATATCTAAAACAGTTGATATGATTAGAGAATCATCTTTAGCAAAGGTAGCTTTGATTGAATAAGGTTAAAAAGAATTAAATTTCAGAGTAGGAGAAACTAGATAAATGATGCATGAACATGCTAATTTAATTAATAATAGTCTTTAAAAGGAATTTTTGAGATAATAGGAATAATTATAAGGTTATGAATCATAGATGTAAAAGTCTGTAGAAATGTAAAATAAATTATTGAATGATGAAAGATCATTAAATGAAGATTGGAAAAAATAATTTGCTTAGAAAAATTTAGTTATATTTACTGAAGTTAGTACAAATCTAAAAAATATAAAAGGAGAATAAATTAAAGATAAAAATGAACTTTAAGAAAATTTAAAAAAGATTACTCATGAAGTTGAAAATAATGATAAAAAATATTTATAATTAATGAAAAATTTAGATCAAAAAGTAACTTAAGGTTTATATTCTTAAGAATTTAAATTAGATTAATTAAGAATAGAACTTTCTGAAATCATTAAAAATATACAATTATAATACAATATCTAATTGCATGAATAAATACAATTTGCTATTGAAACTGCTAAAAAAGATGCCACTTAATAAATTTTAGAGTCTTCATAATAAATTAATGATAGAATAACAAGAGAAATAGAAATGGCTGATTAATAAACAAATGCAAAATTAGATAGTTTATCAATTTAAATGAAAGATCTTATTAGAAATAGAGAAGAATATATTTTATAAAGATTATAATCTATGATTGATGAAGAAAAGGAACTTAGACAAAGACTATAAGAATTGATTGAAAAATATGGAGATATGGTTAGAAAATTAAAAGAAGATTTAGATTATGAAATTTAATAATTAAAAAAGGATTAAGATGAAAAACTAAATGATGCTATATAAAAGATTGAAAGAGATTATTAAGAAAAACTTAAAGATATTGAAAGATAATTAAAATAATAAATTTTAAATTCAGAAACTAAAATGTAATAAAATTTGGATGTGTTAAGTTTAGAAATATCTAAAACAATGGAATAGATGAAAGCTTTTATTAAAAAGATAGAAAATACTCTTAAATCATATGTATAATAAGAATTAGATTAAACTAAACATGATTTAAAAATGATGATAAAAGATATTGAAGATGATGTATTTAAATTAAGAATTTGGACTATTTAATAAATGGAAAAAATGGATTCAGCAATGAAAGAAATTCATATTTAAATATAAAGTGAAATGTATTTGGAAAGAATGTACACTATGACTACACTTGAAAACTTTTAAGAACATATAATCAATATATTAAATAAAGAAAAATAAGATAGATTATAATGGCAATTCTCAATGGAAAATTAACTTAATTAATTAGATATGTCATTAAATAATAAAATTGATTCTGTTTAAAATAATTTATAATAATAATTGGATGATGTCAATTCTGAATTTAAATAAGCAATATAAAAATTAAATGAATAAATAAATCAATAATTTACAAAATTAGAAGAAGATTTCAATTAGAAATTAAAAGATATGCATGAATAAGTATAATAAGCAGCTAAAGATTTAGAGGATAAAATTAATGACTAAATTAATAAGATGAATGAATAATTTAATTAATAATTGATTTAATTTAAGAATGATGTGGAAACTTAATTTTAAGAATTAACTGAAAAAATTAAATAAGATTTATAAGATCTATTTGATGAAATTAGTTAGAAACTTGTTTAATTGAGATCAGATACATAAAATGGATTGACTTAAGTTGTATAATTATAGATAACATCAGGAAATCAATTAAAATCTTAAATCGATTAGAGTTTTGCATACTTTTAATCGAAGTTTTATTTGATTGAACAAATTCGTTAAGCTAATGAAGAATTAGATAAAGAGAGACATACTGGAATTATAGGAAAATTATAATTATTAGTTAAGGAAATGGAAAGATTGGAATAGAAGAAAAATTAAATAAAAAAAGATTTAAATGATTTTGTTAAAGGAGTTTAAAATAATTTTAATAATATTACT